CTGTGTGGGGCCCGAGGCAGACGCCAGAGGAGGGAGACGTGGAGGGCAGCGGACCCACCCCCGTGGCCTGGTGACAGCCTGTGAATTCGTTTTTGCATGGCCTAAGCCTCGTGGCTGACCAGACAGGAGGGAGGACCGGCCCAGCCACACTGTGCTGTGGGAAGAATCAGCCCACCAGACACCACTTCCAGAGATGGGAGAGGAAACAGAGTGGCATTGTCCCGCTGCCTGCTGTCACACTCCGTGTGTGACCCGTCCCCATCAACGGGCAGATTCCCACCCACCCCATGACGGGGTTGGGCAGAGGCGGCTTGTTTGCAGCTCCAAGCCCGGCACTTGGGCCCCACCAAACAAAGCCACCTCCTAATTGCCCCGTTTGCCCTGCCATTAGGGCAGATGGGGCCCACGTAGCTGGCCTGTCATCGCAGCCCGTACCGGGTTCCCAGGGCCTTGCACTGTGACGGCCCCAGCCCTGAGCATGGCTCCCAGCGTGCGGCCAGTTAACCTTGGGCTGCGGCCACCCTGCCTGCCTGCCAGGCCCTGGCCAATCCTCGGCTCCCAAGCTGTGCCCTCCTGCTGGGAGCTGGGACGACCTGACCAAGTCCGGCCGGATGGGGAGTAGGACCAGGAGAACGAGCGGGGCTCGGCCGGCCCTGTAGACAGGGGCTGCATCCCACTTGCAGGCTGTGCCGCCTTGGGCAAGTGAGTTTGCCTCTCTGAGCCTCAGGTCCCTCATCCGTCCCCTCCCAGGCTGGGGCCTGTGCTCTGGAAGGTGACAGCTCTGCCTCTGCACACGCCTTGCGCAGGCTCCCCAGGCGCCAAGGAGCCAGAGGGGGCGAGCTAGCAACATGGGGAGACGGGGCTGGGCTCCGAGACTGGCAGCAGACAAGCGACAGGGAGCACTGCCCCCTGGGCGGCAGCACAAAGCAGAGACAGAAATAGACCACAGAAGGCAGAGACTTCACCTAGGCAAGTGGACTCGATGTGACAGTAGAAGAGGACAGGCATGTGCGTGTGCACACGTGTGTCTGCATGTCCGGTGGGACAACCGTCCTGACACCCATGAGAGGGGGGTGCGATTCCTGAGGGCTCTTTTCCCCAGACCTTCTGCGACTCCTTTACACGCGGCTACCATGACACCAGCGGTCACTGCTAAGGCCGCTGTGCCTGGCTGTGCCAGGTTCTAGGACCTTCTCCTGTATTTGCTCCTTGAATCCTCTCACACAGAGAGGGGCGGGGACTTTTTCCGGTGTCCCAGCGGAGCTGTGGGCCCTTCCGGGGCCTTTGTTTTTGCCCTTCCCTTAGGGTTTCGGGGTTCCTTGGTTGCTTCCCTTGGCTTTGGGACAGGAGGGAGCAAAGTGGTCACACCCCCAAAGTCACCTCCCCCCTCTCCCTCCTATGGCCTGGAGCCAAACCCACCAGGGTGCTAACCCTGGCCCCACCCCAGCCTGTCACCACCATCAGGTTTGGATTTGCTGCCACCAGCCCAGGATTTTCATAAGGTTGTGGATGCAGCTGCACCAGACCGTTCCCGGAGGAGGTCCTGGCACAGATCCGTCATTCAGTCAACAAACAAGCCCCGAGTGTCCACCATGGGCCAAGCACTGTTCTGGGCACTGTGGATGTAGCAGGAAATAGGAGGAAGTCGCCAGCAGTGCGCAGCTGGGGGCTGCAGGGGTGTGAAAAGTAACGGAGCATGTGAACGAGTGAAAGGAAAGGACTCGACAGGCAGGCTCAGGGAGGGCTCAGTGGGCGCTGCTCTCCCAGGTGGGGGCTCAGGGGGTCCCTGAGACCTGGGTGGAGGGAGGGAACGAGCCATGCAAACACCTGGGCATGACAGGGCAGCACACGCAATCCTGTGCGGTGGATCTGCCCGTGAGAAGGGACGCAGGAGGGGAGGAGACGAGGTGGGAGGCCGGGGAGGGGCTGGGAGCCTGGGAAGTTTTGACCCCTTCTAAATGCGAAGGAGAGAACTGAGGGTTTGAGTAGGGTCCACAGCCTGCACTATGTTTAAACGCCCGCGCTGGGTGCTGGGAGCATGGACTGCAGGGGTGAGGAGGGGGAGACAGGGTAGCTTAGACTAGGGAGGAAAGGTGGTAGGAAGTGGCCAGACCCAGGCCATATTTGAAGCCCAGAGAGCAGAGTGAACCTCTCCTTCCTGGCTGGCCCTGGTCCCCTAACGGGCCCACCAGGACAACACAGCAGTAACCGTGCCTGAGAGCCAAGCACAGACTATGTGCCCGACTAAGGTTAGCTAAGTGACCAAAGAGGACGCTAGTTACAACCAGGCACGAGAATCTGGCCGTGGGCAGGTTAGAGCAGGGGCAGACTGACCCGGCCACTCCATCACAATGTGGGGTGCCAGCCACAGCCCGTCCCCACGTTGAACTGTCTGCAGCCCACACTGCCATCTTGTAGCCCAGACTGCCTCGGCTCCCTGTCCTCGAGGGAAGCGAAGCTCCACGAGGACAGAGACTGACGCCCAGCTGTGCCCTCAGCATCTGGACCAGCGGCTGGTACCAGGCAGACACCGAATCCTGGAAGGAACGAATGAAGTTGCATGATGCAGAGTGGCCTTTGGAGTCCTGACGCCCCAGCAGGGGAGTCACCTCCTCATCTGTGAGGGGACACGACCACCTAGCTGTGGCGCTGATGCAAGAAGGAAATGCAAAGGCCCTAGCACAGCCTGAGTCTCGGCAAGTGCGCTTGGGGAGGGGAGGGGCAGGAAGGGGATGAACTCGGAAAGCTGGCGCCAGGGCAGACCGGACTGACTGAGGAATACCAGCAGCTTTCGCAGGTCTAGAAACTGCTGATGCCACCTCTCCAGCTCTGCTGCTGAACGCAGACTTCAGGGGCTTAAAACTGCAGCCATCTCTAGGTGTAGCTGGTGCAGAATCTATTTAATTCCCCAACTGGGTCTGTCTGTCGAGGAACACAGGGCCCAAGAAGCAGCAGGTCCAGACAGTGGTGCAGGACAGGAGAAGGCTACGTGGCTTTCTGCTCAGCGCCCTGCGATGCTCCCGTCGTGAGCCCCGGGCCTGGGGCGGCGCGGCTCTCCCCCAGCGCAGTCTCTGCTCCTGCCCGAGCACCGCCCGGAGGCTGCTGCAGACCTGCCCGGCGCTGCGTCGGCAGCTGTCTGGGACGGTGGCAGAGCCACTGGGAAGCACCCTGTGTACACACGGGGAAAGCTCTAGAGTGAAAACAAGATATGTTTGGGCTGGGGCCAAAATTCTCCATAGCCTCTGTAAGAAATAAAAAAACAAGGGGCAGAGAAAAATAAGTGAACACCATGTAATGAGCTTTGGCGACTCCAGTTCTGCGGGCCAAAGAGAAGCAGGTCTTGGTGAAGCTCCTGAAGGTGCCAAGTCAACACAGAACGCCCTGAGGTGTGACAATGAACACGGCTGACCCTACCGTGGAGCCACCTGAGGCAGCAGGCCCGGCCTCAGGGGAGCAGGTCAAGGCCGGCTGTTTCGGGGCTGCTCCCCCTACGGCCCCTGGCTCTGCTGCCCCAGATGAAGCTGCTCCAATTTGCTCTCACAGGATGTTACATAACCTGCTGCCGTCTATGACACGCCTGCGACAGCGTCTCAGAAAGCGGGAGACGGCAGACACGCAGGGGGAGGAACTCTCGGCAGTCCCAGTGTGAGACCTAAGCGTGCCAAGACAGGGTCTTCGTCCTCACTAATCACATGTAGGACGTGGAGCTTCGTTAAAGAAAAGGTAAACTCTAACAGACTAAAATGAATTCATTAATAAGAAAAGCTACAGGTTACTCACTACCTGACAGGCAGATTATCTCACGTAAACCTCATCACCCTCTCCGACCACGCAGGTGCCAATATTCCTCTACAGGTGAAGGGACTGCAGAGACACGGCCGGCGGTGGGGCTGGGACTGGAACAAGGAGTATGCGCATGACCATGACTCCACCATGCTGTGCCTCTCCTTGGAGCCACGCCAGTCCCTCAGAAACCCCAAGTCCTCCAACACAAGCACCAATGCACTCATGCACGCAAGCACATGCACGCTCTGGTCTGCCAGGGCCTCCGGCTGGGCCCTGGCCACACACGCCTTTGTCTCTGAGTCCAAGCCCCACGCTCATGCCTGCCTGGTTGCCCGGCCAGGGGCTCTGGGGAAGGGACATGAAGTCCTGGCTTCCATAAAGCCTGCTGCAGGAGCTCAGAGACACCCAGGCCCAGATGATCTGGCTTGAGTAAGCCACATACACTGGACCCCAGACAGGGCAGGCTGATGTCACACATGGCCCTTGGCTGGGCGGCCCACAGGGAACGAAAGGAGACAGGTATTAGCAAGCTCTTCCCCCCGAGACCGCGGCTGGGTCAGCCTTTTCCTAAAGTCTGGCGAGAGGCTCTCAGGCGTCTGGCCGCCTCACTAGAGGGCTGGTGCCTGGCAAATGTCAGGGAGCGGGTCTCAGAGTCCCCTGAGGGCACAAAGCTCCTGACCGGGTGACCTTGGGCAAGTGGTGTTAGCTCCTGGGCCCTTCCTCACAGACTTGTTAGATTAGAAATAAGAATATACTGGGTGTCTGACAGTATAAACGGCAGCTACTCTCACTACTCTGACCCTAAGTCTGCCTCAGACCCTCTTACCACCACAACCCTGAAGAGAAGTCACCAAAGCACGCCCCATGCACAGTATGAATGTCAAATGCTCCCACAGCCTTTGCTGCCAAAACACTAGCGCCCTGCTCCCCTCGCCGCCCTTCCGCTGAGGACTAGAAAATCATCAGTTCCACGTGTCTTTGGGTTCCAGCTCTTAAGGCCACAGGCTTTGTTTTGGGAAAAATCGTTGCCGTCAAATGCAGCGCCCCAACTTGCTGGCTGAGGAAGACAGGCTCCATTCAGTGCTGACGAGAGGCCCAGAGACAGGGACTCTGACACATTGTCTTTGGTGCTGACGCTGAAAGGGCTGTGCACTCAAGAGAACCATTTGGCCAGTGTCACCAAAGACGGGCGTAAGCAGCAGTCGACACCTTCCTTTTCAATGTGTATTAAGTCATTCGTTTATTTCTCAAGATGTGCACACTCAAGTATTAAGTTGGCCAGGACAATTCATGGCTCCTAGGTATGTACAGGTCCTTCGATGGCTTGGGTTACAGACAACTTCATAGCTAGTGCATCACACACACAAGATAAAACAGGAAGCCTAAAAACCCCAAGCCGCGCCAAGAAAAGATGGGGGTAATGATGCAGCATCCCGTGGGGGAGTCAATGCACAGGGAGGGAGGAACAGAGGGAGGAAGGCAAGCTAGCTTCAGTCTTTGTCAATGGCGGTGTCCAAGTGGGTGGTCAGGGGATTGAGTTCAACAGGTCCCTTAGGAAGCTCTCTGGATCGGTGATTTCTGATAAAAGACCTGGAAAACACAACAGGCAGAGGCTGGTCAGGAGGGGTGTGCACAGCCCCCAGCCCCCTGAGTCACGGCCACCGCATCCAGCAGAGCACACGCTGTGCCCTGACAAGCTCCAGCCGGGCTGCTCACTGCGTATCAGCATGACTGGGGGGACAGTCACTGAGCAAACGCCCTGCTTCTGGAAGCAGGTGCTGCTGCTGAGGGTGAAGTGGTGGAGGGCAACCTCAGAGCTCCCTGGAGCAGAGGCTGTAAACCTGGTGCAGGGAACACGGCAGGGCTGTGCAAACCCACTGAACCCAAGTGCGAATGGAAGGGGGTGTGTGTTCTGAAGGAGAGTGCCCACAGCTGTCACCATCTGCTCAAAGGGATCTGGACCAAAGGAAGCTTAATGCCTTGCTCTCAACGGCTGAGAGGGGCAGAGCAGACTAGTAGGGCCTTGGGTTCTTCTGAGCTTTGCTCGGACGCTAGTCCTGGGTTCCTGAGCGAGTTGAGCTCCGTTTTGTCGAGCACCAAACACAGACAGAGAGCCTTGCCGTGCCGCCTCACTGTGGGGACTAAGCGAGGCCCTGCACGTGCAGGTGCCCCATGCACAGACGATGCTCCATCCGACCAAGTCCCCGTGACCACCCTCCCTCACGTGGCAGGGCACGGGAGACACGGCGCCTCATGTTAAACAGGCGTGGAGCTGTTAACCCTGAAGGCCTGGCAACGTCCAAACTGAAGTCATCTCCCGGCATCTGCACTAATGGAAGGGAGAGTGGCACAGAACATCTCGTGTTGGCTCTGGAAGGTGTTTTTGTTCTCACATTTGAATAGGGTGTGTCTGATGTGATGAAACTGTCTAACAGCTTAAACAAAGTAATAAAGTCGTGCTATGAAAGCCTGACCTAGAAGTGGAGGCCGTGGAGGCTCCTGCCGATAGGGGCTCTGGCTCTCCCTGCTACAGGCCGGGGCACTGCCACCAGTTCCGGGTTGAAGCAACGCCTGAACCAAGACAAACCCTTCCTTCCCGGGACAGCCCACCCCTTCCCCTCCTCTCACGAACTCTGACTCGCAGTCACACTGACAGTCTCATACAGCAGGCGCAAGGCTCAGCACTGAGAACACAGTCTGAGAGACAGGCTGCCTGCTCTCAGTCAGGACTAACTTTCTGGGAATCTAAGGTATGATGGTGGTTAAATGCCAACACTAAAAAATCATTGGTGGCCAGAGAACCTATAAGAGGTCACTCTACTAGGGATCGTTGTCCCTACTTGGCAGGAAGCAGCCAGATGAATCAATGCCCCTACCCAGTGATTTGGGCCTCTAGAATAGAGAGTGAGGAAATGTTAGGTAGATAGCAAGGTATTCTGGGTCTCCTAGGGACGAAAGTGGGCACCTTGCCTTAGTGCAATTGACCCACCTGTGAAGAAGGACAAGGGTGGGCCTCAGACCCCCATCTTTATCTTTCTCTACTTTGATCCTGCCCTGAGCTACTGCCATACCTGGGGGGGAGGGATTACTCTACGAATCTGTCAATCAGATCTTACTACGCTGGCTGCGAAAGAATGCAGAGGACTCTGCAGCCCATGGGCCAAACGGCATAGGTACCACAGAGTCTGGAAATTGACCTAGAACAATCCGCATGTGTAGTTAAGACTCAGGTCATGCAACTCCCAACTGTCCAATCAAAATGGTTCTATGGTGACGTCCAAGCCACAGGGAGGTCCCAATCCAGGCACTATAAAACAAGATGCAGACCACAGCCAGGCCCTTTCCTGCCCTTCCGTTTGCTCTCCCTTTGCTGCAGCAATGGGTCCAGTCATCACCTATGATGTGTGTTATCGCATGCCCTGCTAAGTGCACACTCTTGCTCTATAAGCCTATCTTTCCTTTATAAACCTCATTATTGTGCTTGCCTTAAAAAAAAAATGCTAGGGAGAGCAGTAAAGGGTTGGTGGAGTTAAATACACAATATACAGAAGTGTTAGCACTTGACTGTCCAGACAAGGGAGGTAAGCACCAGCTGACAAAGGCCTGTCCCAGCACAGAGCTGCCCCTGAGGCCTGCTGCAAAGAACAGCAGACGTGGAAACCCCAGGGCTTTTTGGAAAAATCACTCAGTTGGCTGGGAACTGGGAAGAATAATTCACACTGAATATCACTCCCGATTGTTAGCAGGTCTCATTCCCAGAGGATAAAAAGATAGAAGAAATGTTAATAGGGGTGTTCTCTTGATAGTGGGATATGGGGGGAATTTCTTCCCTGCTTCTTTACACTGTACAAGATTCCCACAATGAACATCAGAAAAAAGTGACACAGTGAAACAAACCAATGAAAAAGAGCTCAGCAGGTCTGGTTACCTGTTGGTTCTGGGTAGCCACCTTTGTGAGGATGGTGTTGGCGGGGCTGTGATGCCATGGCTCCCCAACCTGAAAGGGCACACTGCATTTTAACCCTGAGTGCATTTTCCCAGACATGGACCCGTGTCACCTCACCCTGCTGTCACCTGATGCTTGGTTATGAAATCCAAGCAAATTCTACTGTGTGTGTTTGCAATTAGGATGACAAATTTGTTATACAGAGAATGTCAGTTTTACTAGTTGTGATGATCACACAAGCACATTTCAAAATGTGGCCCACCCTATTTTGCTCTGTCGTGATATTCACTATCTACTTAAGAATCAGAGTAAGAATCTTCCATGTCTCCCCAGGGGGCAGCTGTGACATAAGGGTCTCAGTTCCCCCAAAGGCAGGAGGAAGACATGTGTACTCCCATTTGCACCTTAATTTTCTGAACTGTCATAAAAACCCAGAATCAAAAAGGGACTTTCTAGTTATGTCCTCTTGACCACTTTTTTAATCTTCAAAGCCTCAGTTACCCCATCTATAAAATGGGGATAGGTTGGGCATGGTGTCTCCTGCCTGTAATCCTAGCACTTTGGGCGGCCCTAGAGGGAGAATCGCTTGAGCCCAGAAGTTCAAGACCAGCCTAGGCAACATAGTTAAGACTCCATTTCTATTAAAATAAATGAAAATTAGCCAGGGGTGGTGGTGTGTGCCTGTAGTCCCAGCTACTTAGGAGGCTGAGGCAGGAGGATAGCTTGAGCCCAGGAGTTAGAGGCTGCAGTGAGCTATGATCTCACCACAGCACTCCAGCCTGGGCAACAGAGTAAGACCCTATATGAAATAATATAAAATTAAATTAAAATAAAAAAATAAAATGAAATGAGGACAACCATAGCTCCTGCCTCATACAGGATTGCCTTGAGGACTGAGATCCCGTACGATGGGCAGCAGAGGGCCTAGCAGGTGGCGAGTGCTCCGTACAGGTTAGAGCTGCTGTTCTTGTTATCAGTGACTGGATCTTTATGCATCTTTCCCGGGCTTTCAGTAGGAGCTGACAGGCTGGTTCAAACCTGTGTTTCTTCTAACAGGTGACGATAAAGCTATGACCAACCCCACTAAGGCAGACACGGGGCCTTGCTGCAGAGGATCTTTAAAAGATAAAACCTTGACACTGACCAGCCACGTCGAGGAACTCTGAGAAGGTCTCCACTGGCATGAACTCCTCCTGGAAGGTTTTTAGGGCTTTGTCGGCAGCTTCATAGATGGGCATGTCGTTGTGGCGGATATACTCAGCTAGAGAGCAGGACCAGCCTCCCTCCGTGTTACTGGTAGGCACCTTCTACAACAAACAGCAGGAGACAGGGCCGGGGAGTGGGTTACTTAATGCCTCAAGTCAGTCAGGCCATTCCAATCCCGTGGAAAGAGAGCCCTCCCTCCCCAGGCACATCCCAGCTTTCCCTGGAGGTTGTGCTCTATCTCCTGGAACAATAACACTCCATTCCTCATAGGGCCCCCTTATAAGGCACTGTGTCACTTAAAGCCACAAGCTCCAACAAGTGACTGCATTCTTTCCTCCCTACAAATTTCCCATATGCATTCCTCAAAGCAAAGGGAACTGCCAACACATTTCGACTGAGCTGTTTCACTCAGATAGTAAGAGGAACCACCCCCAAACATTCTTGGTTCTCTCAAAGCAGAGAGGGTCCTATCACAAGCTGGGCTATAGGAAGTCAGACTCATACAGGGCAGCAGAGTTTATCCAAATGCAGGGGCCGGAGCAACAAAGAGTGACCCAGGAGGGAAGGTCTTCCGATAGAGGCAGGCTTGGAGCAGGCTTGAGAGCGGGTAACAGGAGTGATCTCGGCTACAAATGTACCTCAGGGACGCATTGCTCCCTTCCCACAGGAGGGGCACTTGTTTCTCAGGAGCAAAGCGCCCCCAGGCCAGTGGAGGAGCAGCCACCTGGATACTGAGGCAGGGTCAGAACCTGGAGTGCGGCCATTTTACGGCCCTGCCAAAGCATGCTGGGCCTGACAGTTTCCTTACCTTGAACATGTTGTAAATGAGATCGACCAGGGCCCAAAAGAGAAGGGATGAACGATAAGCAGAATAGTCCTTCACTGCCTTGTCTGTCAGCCTGGAAAAGAAAATCAGATTCTGTCCCATGAAGCCCCTGAGACACTCACAAGGACAGAGTAAGGCATTTTGGGCACAAGGGAAGGGGCATAGTAATCTGTGCATCACACAGTTCCAGCTACTTGCCTATCTGCTTGGAAAAAGGCAGCTGTGGGCAAGAAATTCTGGAGCTCTGGAACCCAGAAGTTTATTGATTACCACAATGCCCCAGGAAATTCACCTGACTCTCTTAGTACTCATCTTCCAGATCAGAGTAAAATGGAATGGGGGTGCAAAGTTGCAACATGGCAATTAAAAGGCTACTGACTTAAAGAAAGGCCAAGGATTTCTGTTTTCCTTGTGTTCAGCCACCACCCAAGCTCTTCGACTTGGCGGTACCTAACGCATGAAGTAGGAAACAAGGTTCTATTTCAGTCTGTATGTTCCCACTGGAAGAAATTTTACAAACAATCAGCAGACCTAAAGCAGCCAAACACAGTAAACTGTCAGACATGCTGTGTTGCACAGCAGCAAGCTGGTAGAAAATTGATGTTGAGTAATAGTAATGTCTAACATGGAGCACGCAAACACCCCAACACCTCCTAAATCCTGGGATAATCTGAGCTGTTCACCACACCCCTTGGTTTCTAACCAGTATCATCTCTACTTAATCCAATGATTCAGTTCAGGATTAAAGACTAGCCCATCCCTTGGAATACTGGGAGCTATCTCTGACATGTCCACTGCCTGCTCAGCACACTCTTGGTTTAAGGAATGATTTCACTGGGTAAAGCCTCTGTGAAATACAGAAAGACCACACTTCCCTCGGCAGTGAAACATCAGTGTCTGGGGTCAGTTTCTACCACCCAAGCTCTACAGAGCCATCTAGCACAGCCATCACATCTGTAACAAGCAAGTAAAGGCTAGATGAACCCTTGTCGTGGAGTATTCTACACCTTGGAACATGCTGGAACAAACCCCATGACTAAAGGGATAGGCACTAAACATTTAGTTTAGTATTACATGCATGTGTATATGTAAAAATCATAAAAATAAGACAAGACAAGCACAGATGTTATTTACTATAGAAGCTACAACTATACACAAGGGCCTCAAGGGAAAGGACTGCCTACCATGAGATAGACCATCCACACCTATAATCAGTAAATGTTTAACTCACAAAAAGCAAAGCAAAATAATAATGAGACAATACCCTGCTAAAAGCATGTTTGCTAAAACATGCTTCCTGTAGTCTTCTTCCACCCCAATATCTTCCAAAACTCCCACTTCTCTCCTGCGTTATCATACATGGGGATGCTGTAGCCTAAAACACTGTGAGGTGGGCCCATGGACAAGAACAACATCCGATCCTCTGCAACTCTGCATCCTGGCAGATAAGATAACAGATAAAGTTCTGATGGAAGCCTGAGAATGCCCCAGGCTTCCGTACTTGCAAGTTCCTGGCAGAGAAAGCTTTCCTTAAATGTAAACCATGCAGAAGAAGCCAGCTTCTCTTGAGCTACATTCCTGTGTATCTGCTAGTGCCCCCACCCCATGATGTACAAGACTAAGGACAAAGGCTGCCACCAGTGACACTGTCCCCGACACCAAGATGACGACTCTGAATGCCCTCCCAGCCATGGGCTCTCCTCCACGGTGGCCTGATACCCAGCAAACCCTAAGCACTTCTAGTCTGTTTTGTGAGCACCAGGCTCACAGCCCCAGACCATGGCCAGGTTTGGTCCTTCTCTGTGGCTGTTCTGCTTTGGTAAGCAGAAATCATGAGTGACCCTGCCCAAGTTAATTATTTAAGGTGAATTAGTAAAGGTGACTAAACTGCTACAGAGAAAATGCAACTCATGAATGTAGCTCACACTGGATTTCCTAATTAAGCTATGACCAAATCAGCTTTTCCTTAACTGCCTGGCACAGTAATGAATTCGAGTCTCCTAATTGAAAGCCAAACAGCTCCTGTGAGCTCAGATTTCACACCTGCCATGAAGAGCTTTGTACCCAATAAATGGTCACTCTATTTGTTATGGACATGGGCTAAGTTTGATTTATCAACAGCATAAGTAGCCTCAAGATCTAACTTCTGATTTCTAGCACCTTGTTAACTATTAATGCTGCAGGCTCTTGGGAAACACTGGAAAGTGGTATGTTTGGAATGGGGCAGGGGCTACATAGGCATCTAACAAGACTCACCCCCTACCATTCCACACAAACAAGCTGGTTCTGCCAGATTCAACATTATAGCTCCAACCTGGTCTCTCTGGGGGGTGTGAGGTGCCTACAGACCAGCAACTTGATAAATCAGAGCTGATGGAGGTAAAGATACTAGGTGTGCCAAATCAGGCACATGCCGTTTCCACTTGGCTTGCCATTACCATGGCCCTGAGTTTCCCCTCTGCTGCCATGCTGGCCCACAGATGTGGAAATGGTCCCTTGGATCCTGGGCTAAAATGGAATCAGAGGGACAGATCTTCTAGAAATGAAGCAGGGACACATTCGCTCAACGGGCAGAAGCAAGTTGCTCTACCCAGGGCCTATTGTGTAGCTCCCCAAGACAGGCAGATTGTTCAGGGCCACTGTCAGCCTGAGTGGTGGCCACGGAGTCCCCTGTGTGCTCAGCAACTGATGTGGGCATCCCAGAGAGCTGGAGTGGTGGCTGTTTGCAGTTGTTTCTCTCACAACACCTCCCATCTGACCCACATTGCAGCACTAGGTCATAACACAAAGTCCACTCCCTCCTGACATGCTGCTCTTTCTTTGGAGGTGTCCACATGAACAGAAGAGTGGGTCTGGAAGTAGGCTCATGGAACATGGAGCAGACAGGATAGGAATATAACAAAAAGCAAGAATGATGAGCTTTTAATTATTAGAAAATACACAGTGATAGCCATGCTAAAACTTTCCTAGTTTATGCCCAAACCAGTAAGATTTGGAAAACCTGGTTATGGGTCTCATTCCTGCTGGCCCTAATCTTCTCACTGGTTGTACCACCCTGTGCCCAGCTGCCTTCCTCTCTGAATTCTCTACAGCAGGTAAGCCTGGCTCCACCCTTCTAATGGCTGAACCCCAGACCCAGAGGTGATCAGGCAAACGCCAACGTTTGGCCCAGACTTCTGGTCTGACAGACCGAGAAAGGCTGGTGTCAGCTGCAGAGTGCCCTGAGCAAGCCTCCACCTACCACACTGGGAATACACTGCACCATGGCAATACACATTCTGGGGCTTCAGCTTCCTGAAGCAGGCACTGACCTGGTGGCTCCCCCTGGAGCTACTGCCCGGGCCTGTGAGGTCACCAGCAGCCTCCGCAAGATTTCCACGCGTGTGGCTCTCCACTGCTCAGGGGGCAAGATGTGCAGGGCCAGGACTGTGAAATAGTGGGGCCCATCCACTTCAAAGGCACTCTCCACCCACTTCTCCTTGGGCTGCTCCAGAAAGCCTTGGAGGTTCTTCTCTTCTCGGGAAGTTGCTCTGGTTCTGGAAGGAAAGGGGCACGATGAAAGCAGGTGAAGTAGGCACAGCAGCAAGGGGAGAGGATTTGCTCTACCTGTCATCCTCTCATTGCGCTTGCTGAACACTTGGATTACTGAACACTCCACCACCTCATCCTTGACTGCTCTTCTCACCCCCTCTTTGGCAACCCAAGCCCGTCTTCCCCTTCCAGGTCCTTTTTTGTGGCATCTTCCTTGACCCCCCCTGCCCTGCCCCCAGCTCTGACAAAATTCCAAACAACTACTGGCCCCTGAGCACCCTGCTGTCAGTTACATTCACAAACACCCCAACATGGAATTGTCCCCAAACTCTGGAAGCCCAGAGAGGTGAAGTGATTTGTCCAAAGTCACCAAGCTGGTAAGAGATGGTGTCAAAACATGAATCTAGAGTTCTGACTTGGGTCCATGGCCTGAATTCTCCCTCGCTCCACTAGTCTTATCACATTTATGTGGTTTGCCCTAAATTTGCATCCGGTTCCTTTCCCAGGCTCCCTAATTTGGTTTGTTTTCTTATGATCTGTGTCTTCCCTCCTTCATTCAAACACAGGTTCTTCCAGGCAGGTGCTGCTTCTTGTTCTCACTCTTGCCTAAGTTGCAACGGTAGTGACGGTCACGGCACATACGAATGCCAGGCACCATTTTGAGTCCTTTATGTGGATTATCTTAACCTTCACAAGAACTTTACAGGACAGATACTACCCCTATCCCCATTCTATAGAAAAAGAAAACTACACTACAGGCGGCGAGTGTTTTTTGCCCAGTCACACTGGGGCAAGAACTGGGCTTTGAACTCAGGAAGTCTGGTTCCAGAGCCTGTCCATCAACTCTATCTTCCTTGACAAGAGATCACTGAAGTAGCACTGAATAATAGTATAAAGTGAATAATAACTCCTGGCTACACACTCTCCTTATAACATGGACAGTGCTCTCATGCCGTGAATGCTTGATGCCCTATCCTAACTCTGTGGGGGGACAAGGAACACAATACACCACTCAGCACCACTAGAATCCAAGGTACCAGGTGTGTAGGTGGCACCGCCATAGATGCTGACTCTGGGAAAGCAGCAGGGGAGTGTGTGAGGATGCCCTGCGTCCGTCCATTCCCTGCAAAGTGCTCATGGACAGAATGGGTGGAGACACCCAGCTGGATCTTCCAGCCCCAGCTTAGGCTCCACTCTGGCTCATGGTGGCCCTGGTGTGACATACTTGCCTTTACACACAAATGTTCCACCGAAGGCACCCAGCCTCCGTGACCAAGCTCCCACCAATGTCAAGTGGCCAGGCAGTGGGAGTATCTGTAGCTGAGAAACAGTGCCTCTCCATGGCCTTCTAGGTCAGCCTCTGACTGACCAAAGAAACCATGACAAAGCCAACTCCTTCTCCAACTAAGGGGCATGAACTACAAATATCTGGCATTTGAAAAACACAGGTCACCTGAAGTCACCAGCTCTAATCCAGCTAGGTAAATCATCGAATGTTTTTTCCCCGTTGGATCTATTTTCTCCCTGGAGACTGGAACAGTCCACGCCACCTCACGGCTGCCAAAAGCCATGTCTCTGCAGACACCAAGGCTCTGCCAAGGGCCCAAGAACACTGGAAGTTAACAGAACTTGGGCCTGACGCAGAGCATGGACAGTGGGAAGGTCCGTGCCCTCAGTGTGCCAGGTGCTGCTTCTGCCGTCTAAGTGGTTTAGCAGATGACGCGATGCGCTCTGGCAGACCTGCCCCTGCATTTTTTAACAATGAAACCTGTGGTCTCAAAGTCAGCCTTATAAACCACAAGGAAATGGGAGGAAAGGAAAAAAGAACACTGCTGAAGAGAGAGGAGCAGAGAAGACAAGACACAGACTGTCCTGGTCCCTAAACTGCACCGCAGCTGCCCCAGGTGAACTACACACAGACTTTCAACAGATTGTCAGGTCCTGGACAACACTGTAAGACCCTCGCTGGGAGCTGAGGCCTATGAGAATGAAAACTGAATTAAACTAAAGAGCAATGGGAGGGTAAATCTCTTAATTTGCCTTTAAAATCTGGAGTAGAAAGAAAGAATAATATTCCCTACCTCCTCTAAGTTCTTCTTTAAAATTATATTTTTAAATATCAGCCTAACTCTTCTATAATGTGCATATGGATAAAAATACCAATCTCCTTTTTTCCTGGGTGCCTTTTTTCTCAGTTGACTTCCCCAGATAATTCTCACCCCTCCCTCCCTTTCCCCTCACACTTGCCAGAAGCATTACTCACTGGAAAGAAAACAGAGATAACAAACCCAGCTTCAATCTATGAAATGGGTCCTTAGCTCTGCTGTACCCCTTCATGGGCAGCCTTCACCTGCAACGACCCGTGTGCCCTGGATTAATGACTGTGCTGCGGCTCTGACCTATGGCCTCCTCCCATTAGAGAATAGCCTGGAAGGTAGAAGTCCTGGCTACATCGAAGTAGAGGCTTCGATGGCCTGGCTTCTCCCATTTCCTGCCCCCCCACGAGCTGAAAGTCAGTCCAAGGATGCAGACCTTGGCTACCCATGGGGGAGATGGGGCAGTTTGGGAAAAGTCACCCTGATAGCTTCATTCTATGTGATGCCAAAAAGGCACAGATGAACATCCCAGCCTCAGTAAGAAGGCTGCCTTGGCTCTGATGTCTGCTCTGACACTAACCAGGGAGGATGTGGAAAAGCTGGGGAGTCTTATTAGACAGAGGGACGTAGGGTAGGTCAGCCCAGATGCCGTCCTGATACTGACGTGTTCAGGACGTAAAGCACAGTGTGAATGATGTACGGGATCAGGTGGATGTTGCTCTCCCGGCCGCCCCCGCCAGTGTCCGCGCTGAACGACTGCTCCATGGCGAAGCGCAGGAAGAGCAGCTTGATGTCGTGGATGTTGAGCTGGTACGTGGGCTCCCGCTGGCCCGTGCATTCCTGGAGGTACGTGTTGTGCCTAGGGAGATGCAAGACAAACACCGAATTGGAAGTGCGTTTCCTACAAAAACCCAATTTGGAAGACAGAAGCCCACCCACCTCCACTCTACCGGTAGCTGTGAAGGTTAGCAAATGGAGAGAATGAAAGGGAAAGCTGAGGACAGAAGCTGTGGCCAGCAGGAAGACCAGACCATGGACATTTTCATTTATGCTGTAACAATGTGATGCTCTCCAAGTTTTGAAGAGAACCCATCACTTTGGGGACCCCATTTCTGGATGGACAAATGTCATAAGACATATCATGGCCACATCTGGAAGTAATTTTATCCATGCTGACTGACAAGGTGATCTAGCCATAATAATGAGCTCCTCAACCTCCAAATAAAAGGTTTTTCTCCTACATCAATAAACATTCCCATCTATCTGGGCTCTGCCTCTTCTTAACTGGGTGACCTTAGTGAGTTGCTTAACCTCCTGTATCTCAATTTCTTCATCCGTACAATGTGCACAAGACATGGGAAGCACTTCCATACGCTGCCCGTTATTGCTGCCAGGTGCCTGCTTTGTGGCAGGTACCTTTCTATTGTTGAGCTTTTTAATTTATTTATTTATTTGTATTTTTTGAGACACAGTCTCACTTTGTTGCCCAGGCTAGAGTTGAGTGCCATGGCGTCAGCCTAGCTCACAGCAACCTCAAACTCCTGGGCTCAAGCAATCCTCCTGCCTCAGCCTCCCTAGTAGCTGGGACTACAGGCATGTGTCACCATGCCCAGCTAATTTTTTCTATATATGTTAGTTGGCCAATTAATTTCTTTCTATTTATAGTAGAGACAGGGTCTCGCTCTTGCTCAGGCTGGTCTTGTCGTTGAGCTTTAAAGTAGGATTTGGGCTGGGGCCCACTCCACAAGGACAAGACAGAAGGACCCCAAAGAAGCTTTAGCTATTCTAATCTGGATTTTTAGGACCGTGGAGCTCTTAAAAGGAGCCTGATGTCCCCTCTGCCACTAAGCCACTTTCCTTATTTAAATCTCACATGACACCATAGAAGCGAACTCTGGGAAATTCTGGCCTCGAGGACCAAGCCAGGGGTCCTGCATCTGTCATAAAAAAGATCAACAATGCAGGAAAGGCAGCAAATAACTAGAAATTTTCCAGGGTGCCCCAGGAGCTGAGGGTGCTGGCTTCTCTCACTCTGTGGGTGCACGTGCCAGGCCGTCCCCGACCCGTTTGCCTGGACAGCTCCCTAGTCAGCAAGCAGAGAGATGTGGATTCCAATGAAGGTGACAAGAAATGGTGTCACCAGGGGCTAGGCTGATAGCTGATCTTCCCCCATCTCCTAGGAATCCCTCTTTTCTACCATGGAAAACATTTAACACTCACCTGGCCAAGCAAGTGGCAAAAGCTGATTCAGGGACGTGGGGCCCCCAAACGGGAAGGAGCCCGTTGCACTTAGTGTTGGCGTTCTGAAGGGCAGCACTCTCCCACTCTTCCCGGCCTCGAGCCAACCTGGATGGGGAGGACAGCAGGGACAAGTGGCTGCTGGAATTAATTTGCCAACCAGGCACCTGGGAAAGTCGGGTAGGGGAGGGTACGCTAACATGAAGAAGTAAGTTAGCCCATGCTCCTGACCCTGTGGAGAAAATCAGCCACGTCTGACCTCGATACACTAAGTCAGGGGTCCTCAAACTTTTTAAACAGGGGGCCAGTTCACTGTCCCTCAGACCGTTGGAGGGCCAGACTATAGTTTAAAAAAAAACTACGAACAAATTCCTATGCACACTACACATATCTTATTTTGAAGTAAAAAAACAAACAGGCAAAAACACCTGCATGTGGCCCACGGGCCGTAGTTTGAGGATGCCTGCACTAAGTGCTAGCTTCACTAATTCTAGTGAGCAAGATTCTTTCACCAGCCTCGGGCCAAAGCCAAAGCATATTTTCCCAATATGGCAAGAACAGCTTGTGAACCTATATGGTTTACGATATGACACCCTATTCCCCAGAGACTAAGGAGCAAGGCTGGCACCTTGCTCAAAGGTGCCAGCCTTGCACCCACCCCCTCAAAGCCCAGAGCCTTGGGCAAGTGGCCCACTCCTCTGCAGTAACACAGGCCTAGAGCTGAGGCACACGTGGGGAGAAGGAAGGCCCATGAGCAGACCTCCTGAAGGGCCCACCCTGCAAGAGCCAGGGCTCACCTGACAGCAGCCAAGTGGCAGTCGTAGTGCACAATGTTGAAGTGGGACACGGTGCTATAGCCCTGCTGTTTCCGGGGCTTATTCTCCATCTCCTCCAAGGCCACCCGCTTAGTGAAAGTATAAATGCCCAGGACCTTCGTGGGCTGCAAAGATAACATAAGAAGGAGAGGTGACTGAGAAACCCCAAGTTAGGCCTTGGAAGGAAGTCAAGCAGAACAGAGGGGAATTGTTCCTGAGCAATGCCTTGAGATTCAGGTGCTCCAACCCGGCCAGAAGTATTCAGGAGACAGGGTGACGGTCAGTGCCTTGGTCTACTGGTTAAGCAACTGACTGGACACAGCCCTTGTGAAATTATCCAGCGTACATAAAGCTTTGAGCATGGGGCCTAACATACAGAGAGAATCCTATGAGTGGTATTTGTTGATGATGATGATGATGATGATGAAGATAACGAAAATTAATGTTCAGATTGGTTTGCCTTCCTGCCTTTAAAGAGGATGGCTGGTCCTTTTGTCAGTCTCCTAAATGCAAGCCTTGACCCCAGCCTACTAGAACAAAATGGCCTGCAGGAGAGGGATGCCACCTAGAACAGGGGCCAGGCTGTGCATAGACGCCACACCCTCAGGAGTGACTGCAGGCTCTGCAGCAGTACCTGGAACTTGTACCCCTCCCTGCAGATGCAGCACGTGAGGCCTGGCTCTTCGATTAGCTCTTCCATCTGCTTCAGGAGCGCTGTCTTGGTCACGACCTGGCCCTTTTCGTTTGTCTGCAGGGGAACCCAGGTTGCACGTCAGGAAGGGATTTCCATACCCCCCACCCTAACTGGGGCTGGTCAGGAACAGGGCTAACCTTCCACGTACACTAAAAGGACTGCTGCATAGAGAGGAAAGCCCTTTAGTTATCTTCTAATGAGGGTAAAGACCCAGACTCTTGTGCTATTCTCCTCTTCCTACAGGAACCACTGAAGCAGAGGAAACCACCCAGCTGGAACCCTGGCAAGCTGCCACTTGCCATCAGAAAAGCCCCCTTTCTTTGTGCCAGCAACACCAAGTCTCAGCTGCCAAGGGCTGTTGCATTATGATTCATTCACTGTTCCCATGTGAGTGTTAAAACTGCTGACATACAAGTTTGCTGGTTTGGAGAAGGATAATGTAGGACTACTGCTTCCTCCATGGTGCGACAGCGAAAAGAGCACAGAGCTCCTTGTGTCAAACAGACCTGGGTTCAAAACCCTGTCAACCACTTACTAGTTACATCACCTCGCAAGTTTTAATTACTTCATCTGGAAAATGAGTATAATAATATCAACCTCATAGAACCACCTGAGTGCTTAAATAAAATCTTGTCAAGGTGCTTAGTGCCTGGCATATAGTAAATCCTTGATAAACAATAGCTACTATTACCACTTTTACTGTCTTTGTGAACTTGCTACTATGTCACTTATGCCCAGAGTCTCATCTGTATAGCCGAATAGTAACAGTCCCACCTCCCAGGGTACCAAACACACCTAATTCCTTCCTCCTTCTCTGTCCAACCTTCACCTTCACCATCTCAACCCCTGGTCTGTCCTGAAGCATAGGGCTGTCCTATGGCCATCTCCCCAACAGTGTGGGTAAGAATGTGGGGACTCCGGGCAGTGGCTTTACCGTCATGCCCAGGGTGCCCAGAGCCTTCTGCCTCATGGCCATGGCCATGCGCTTCTTCTCAGCCCGGGTCTCCCTGCGGGCTGCATCAATCTTCTTGTTTACATCAGGGTGCTCCCGCAGTGCCTCCAGCAGGTTCTCTGCCAGGGTCCCAATGCCCTCATCGCTGGACACCTGCTCCAGCTTATGCAGGTTTGTGATGGAGTCAGTTCCAATCAGAACCTGCCAACAAGAGATGAGAGAGATGCATGCTTCCAATTATGTAGACAGGCCTTCTTCTCGGGAGCTTGTTTAGAAAATCAATAAATGTGCACCGCCTCACATCATCTGCTCGGCTACAATCACATTCTTTGGCTCTATACTTTGAGAGAGACACACAAATGCAAGAGAGTTTGGCTTTACCACTGACCTTTGACCAGTTACTATGCTCTTTAGCTTCAGTATTCCCACCTATAAAATGGGAATAATGTCAGGGCTGCCGTGATGATTAAAAATTAGGTAACATGTAAAGTATCCAGCACAGCGGAAGTGAAAAGGAACCAGAAGATTCCCTTATCCTGGTAAGACAAACAGCAGTACCCGATGAGGCCTGAGGGGTAAATTCACCAGCCAGAGCAGGGCCTGCCCTAAGCTCTCCGTCTAGGGGCCCTCTGGGTCTACCAAACTTGGGAGCACAGTTTTCTCAACCTACAGAACTTAAAGGTACAAATACAAGTGGGTGTGGAGATAAGAAAAAGTTTTTAAAAAACAGACAGAATAAGAAACACCTATGCTGAAAAAGGTTGGCAGTCCCTGTACTCTAGCACCATGCTATGAATGGGTGGGAGAACAGCAGAACGCTAAAGGCAGGAGTAGCTGGAGAAAGCGCTCAAGTGAGCACACTGAGAAATATCACCGCATCACTAAAATCCTCACCGCCTCCTCGCAAGTGACTTGATGGCAATTACTATGTATTTAATAATAAATTGAAATCAAAACTAACTTGCAACACGAAAGCTCAGCGCTCAACTCAGATCACTCACTAGCTCATAAATCTGTTCTCATAGCAAGTACGCTTCCAATTTGTACTTCAGCACAATTACATGTTATCCCATGTCTCATGCTCCTAAATGCTGAGCCCATACTTCCACTCCCATGGAACTTTTCCACAGGCACCCAAACTTAGTACTCCAAAACATGTGTTTCAGGTGCTGGGGAAACAAAGACCCTGCCCTTATTAAGCTTCCATTCTGGTTAGGACAGACCGCATACTCACAGTACAATCTGATGAACCCTCCCATCCACCTAATTCTCAAGCCTTCTAACTCCTCCATCTCCTTCCATGGCACAGCCACCCACCTCGTCACTCAATCCAGAAACTGAGCAAAGTTCTTGATTCGTCCATGTTCTTCCCCCTCATGTGCAGTCAATCTCCAAATCCCATTTAGTCCACCTCCCAGGTCTCTGTTCAATCTCTCCACTAGCTAGTTCAGGCTGCCACTCCTCTCACCTAGAGTACGATAAAAACCTACAATTGTTCTTCCTACCTCCAATCTCACCTCTCTCCAGTTAACTCTCTAGAATACTTTAATCTGTCTTTTGCCTCTGAGCTTTTGCAGGTGTCATGCTCTTTTCTTGAAAGTCCTCTTTCCTTTGACCCCATCCATACTGCATCTATCCCACTGTTCTTACTGTGTATTCCACTGCATCTTCGCCAGACAGTAGCTCCCAGCAGGCACAGACTCCCCAGCCTAGCACAGGACCAGGTACACAATAGGTGCTCAATAAATGTGTTGAAAAGGGAATGGCCACAAGTGTGAATGCCAAGTATCTAACTAGATAAAGCCTTATTCTAAAGAAAGTAATTTGATTTGGTAACTAAGAACAAGCCTGGAAATCAGCTGACTTGGAGTTCTAAGCTCATCATGCTGCCAACTGGCCAAATCACAGTCTGTCCCTTGGTTTATCCATATACAAAATAGAGATGTTATAAGAATATAGAAAACAATATATGTGAAGACTCTTATGTAGAAAGAATTATCTCCCCAAAGATACACCAATTATAACTATGCCCCATGAGTTGAACTAAAGTTTAGAACAATAGAGATTTCAGGGAGACATATGGAAATATCTTTACTGTAATCAAGTCACCACATTCTTAGAATAAGTTATCAGGACAGATGACCAAATGAGAAGGTAGAACTATAATTAATGTAGAACATTATGAACAGGGAAAATATCCAACCTGAGGACTCTGAAAATTCAACATTAAAAAAGCAAACCAAACAATCCAATTAGAAAATGAGCAAAAGACATGAACAGACATTTCACTGAAGATATGCAGATGAAGCACATGCAAAGATGTTCAACACTGCTAACCATTAGGAAAACACAAATTAAAACCACAATGAGGGATCACTTGAGACAAGTCATGTCTCAAGGTGAATTAAGGTGGTTACATTCATTCAGTCAGCAGAGTATATGGTTCTCTCACACTACGTGTCCTGTCTGCAGAATAAGGTCCACGTGCATGCTGGCTACCCACCTGGGTGGCAGGGTGCTGCATGGCCAGCCCCCGAAGAAGCCTCAGGATAAATGGCAGAGCTGGGCGAGACAAAAACTTTTTCCAGATGTCAGCATCCAAACTGCGAAGCAAAGGAAGGCTTATTAGCAGGCCAGGGAAGCAAGGGCTTCCTAGAAACCCGTTGTTGATTCTGTCTTGAACCAAGTCCCAGTGCTTGTTTAAAGGTGTCCCTCCAAGAGTGTCATAAAGGATCACAAACTACCACCCAGCTCAGTGAAGAAGCCAGATAGAAGTTAGTAGCCCCGAAGGACTCTGCAGTGGTTGAGTGGTCACTGATAGTTGCCAGAATGGGAGGGTGGCCCTAGGGAGGGCAAAAGACACACATGAAGCTTTATGCCAAGATGATGGAGCAGGAAGAGGGAAGCCTCTCTAAGGAGGGGGCCCTTACTTCTTGGCGCTGGGGATGTGCTTCTTCATGTAGTCAAGCGCACTCTGGGTGATCCCCTTCTGGAGAATCAGATCCTTCAGCTGATGCCCGTTGCTGTTGTTCTTGATACCGGCTGCTATTTTACAGAAGCAGTCCAGGAAGACTTTATCATCCCCACTATGATCCTCATCATACCTAGGAGGACAGAGCAAAGAGTCTGAGGGTGTGAAAGGCAGAACAAAGCCAATCATGCCATCCTCTTGGTCACCTATCTTTAACAGCCTATAGGACATCAGGTCTAAACTCCCTAAGGTGAGAGAAAGACCCTCTGCCTTGGCTCCTGCCATCCGCCTCTTACCTGCCACGCCCCCAAGCTCTTAGCCTTCCCTTGCATTCTCAAACTTTGCACATGTGACTGCCTCTGTCTCATCACACCCCCATCCCATCTTGCCAACCACTTCACCTTCTCTGCCCGGCCAACTACTACTTTAATATATTTATAATATATTTAAACTACTGACTCCAGAACTAAACTGAGCCCCTTCAAGGCCACACCACGTAAACAAAAACCTAATATTAATAGAAATTCAGGTGATTCTTTCTTATCTCACAGTACTAGTTTACTTAGCTATATGAAATACAAGCGACATACTTATCGAAGCTGCAGTATGGTTTGAATCGCTCTACTAAGATCTGCATTTTCTCCACCTCTCCAAAGGAAAGGTATGGGATGATGCGAAGCAGGCCCTGGAGCACGCTAGGGTTGGAGCGAACAAAGGTGCTGTTGATCTGGTCCAAGAGCATCACAAGTTGATCCTTGTCACCTGTCAGAAGGAGGTTGCCCTGAAAAGAAAAGGGGGTGGAAAGCCAATTAATGCAGTCAGGACTGTGGCTGCAGCCAACATCTGATGCCCAAAGGCCAGCCACTTCCATTAGATCCATCAGGAGTAGCCCTAGAACAATGTGTCTCAGCATTTCCTAGGGAATGATAAACCATATGAGTTTCACTTGAGAGATTAATTTCTAAGTTCCTGTGATGATTCTGTTAATAATCTCAGGTGGTCAAAATATAGCAAGACAATCTCCCTCTCCCCCCACCAAGAGAATGTAGGCTGTTGGACATTCATTTGGTCATAGCTCTAGCCAAATCATTAGATTAGCACCAATAAGAATGGGAGAAATTACAGGTACATTCAGTGGAGAAAAACTGAACTGGGAGCTAGACACCTGAGCTCTAGGCCCGATTCCTCTAGTAACCAACCATATAACAATGTTTCCTCAATTGTGAAATGAAAATCGACTAAGGCCCCTGCCTGTCAGCTGGGACATGCCAGGATTCCATCAATGAGCAGGTTTTGAATGAAAAGAATATCCTTAGCAGCTTTGCCTTCTCAGAATCTAAAGACTTCAGGTTTCAATGCAATGATGTCACCATTAGTTGAGTCCTGACATTACAATGACTGGAGCATGTTTGGTTGCTATCAGATGAGCTCAGCTAGACACAAGCCTGTCGCTGGCAATGAGACAGTGTAAGCTCCCAATGTCTGCAGATGGAGGGACTGGGCCCCACTCACCTTGTCCTCACTCAGGGGTTCGGCGTTGGACTCATCTAGAATGATCTCCATGATGCTAAGCACCTGCTCAGCCACAGCTGCACCCCCACTGTCCTTGCTTTCTTGCTCAGCTACCAGGGCCTGTAGCAGAAGGAGACCCAGTCTCAAAATAAAACCACAGCCACTCACCGCTGATGGCATGCTCATGGCCTTAATTCCCAGAGACTGTGTATGTATATGGGTGTTCTGAGAGGGAGACAAGTATGTTGACTTTTGAGGCTGGTGAAAACATGAGGTTCCAGATGTCTTTCTTGGCTACCCCAAGGAGAGGGGCACTATTTCCCCACTTGTGTGCAGTTTGGATTGTTTAAGGAACCGCCTTCCTCTGTCTCTGATCTGAATTCAGGAAAGGGACAAGGGTGCTCGTGGGTCCCCTGGCAGCAGCACGATGGGTGAGCCAGCTAAATGACCCAAGCCTCTTTACCAGTCAGCCGGACAGATGAAGGGCTTGAAGAGGCCATAAGTCCATTTCATCTAAGCCCAGAACTGAGATGTTTTTCCCTCATCCCAGACTTCCAAGGCTCACACTTCATCATTTGCAATCCACACTTTACCAAGTTCAGAGTCCCCAGCATGACGTTCAAAGTGTTCATTTCCAGCTTGACCAGCTGCTGCCGGTTGACTTTCACCTTCACACAATAACTGAACAATTTCAGCAGCACCTGACAAGAAAGCAGTCAAAACCCATGAGACCATCTGAGAGAGTAAGATGTGGGGACCTGCAGGATAGAAATGTCTAAGAGGAGTTAGGTACAATCAGCAGGTACTCTTCCTGAAATGCAGAGGACAGGAGGGAGGCGTGGATCCTTAAAGGGACATGGTGAGATGGCTGGGCTCTCATATCAGGTTTGAGATAGCTCCGTCACCCAGGCTGGAGTTCAGTGGTATGATCATAGCTCACTGCAACCTTGAACTCCTAAGCTCAGGTGATCCTCCTGCTTCAGCCTCCCTGGTAGCTGGGACTATATGTATGCACCACCATGCCAGCTAAATTTTTTATAAAGATGGGTTTCACTATGTTTCCCAGACTGGTCTTAAACTCCTGGCCTCAAGAAATCCTCCCACCTCAGCCATCAAAGTGCTAGGTTGGTATTTTAAATAGCAAGGGTCTCCAAAGGAAGATTCCGTGGGCTGGGTGTATCTCTACTATCAATTCTGAACAGAACAGCTGACGCTCTGTTGCTTTGGGGCAATCCCAGCACTAACTCAAAGACTGTGAACTAATAGTAAACAGAATGATCCCAAAGCTCATGGGCCTGTGGAAACTGAGAACCAGGTAGGTCACTGAAAACAAAGATAATGATATTTGTTCTCATAGACCCTGGGGGTGAAAATAATAGTGTAATATTTGTGATGCCTCTAGAATCCTCTAATCCTTGCTAATGAGATTAGTTGGATGAATACCCAAACAAAATCCTACAATAGAGAAATAACTTATATTATAAAATCCATTTTAAAAGCAATAATAAAATAATAATCATGATTAGCACAAGTATAGTTATTTGGGGAAAGATAGCCAGACATTAGCTCCACAGATGACTAAAGAGTTAACAAAAAAAGTTGCCCCCACACTGGGTTTTTGGGGAGGTGTGGGCCAGAAAGAGGGGAGTAGGGCTGCCTAAGATGCAGAGGGCTTAGGGAAGCTGCCAGGTCCTTCACTGGCTTACACGGGTCCATGGCACCATGCTGCCCTCTAGGGTTAAATGGTACAATAGCTACAGCCCTCTCTCCATAGGGGCCTCTCCCGGTGCAAAAAAGCTAATCCCCACATCTTGCTGCCCCCAACTCACTGTTAGAAGGTGGCGTCCCTGCTTGAAATCTTTGATTCCTGCCAGTCTATTAAGCATGCATTCCAGACCCCCACACTGGGCCATCACACCAGCCATCTTATATACTTCTTCTTCATCTTCCTCTTCATCTAGGAGAGAAGGGAAGCCAAGCAGAAACACAGGAATGTGAAGATGGGAATAAAACAGCCCGCTTCCAGGCTGATAGCCCTTTTCCATATCTCCAATAGATAAAGACACAGCCAAGAAAAGGAGTGAATATTGGATACTAAACTGTACTATCTCACTCCCAGTAGAAGCTTTTTTTAAAGATTCGAGAGTCAATTAGATTTAAACAAATGTGAAAATACAAGCACCATTCTTATCAATGGGGGAAAAAACTAAGTTAAAAATGAATCTGAACTCAAGTTTATTGTTTTTGTTTGTTACTTTCTTCTTTTTTTTTTAATTTCTGAATATTATGGGGTTATACATGTCTTGGTTACATAATTTGCTTTTGTACAGTTTTGAGTCAAAGTTATAAATGTGCCCTTCACCCAGTTAGTGTGCACTGCACCCATTAGGTGTGAATTTACCTATCCCCTCCTCCCCCTCCCAAATTTATTAATTACACTTTTCCCCTAATAGTTTGATTTTTTTCCTGACCCCCAGAGGTATCTGAATCAGGCCATAGATGCCTATTTTCCTCAACTGGAGAAGTCTTCTCCCCACAATTCTGAGGCAGAAGTACAAGAGAGTATTTGCTGAGAATACCCCTAAGTCCTGGGACACGATCTGCCCCTCAGTCCCGAACCTCAAACCCAAGTGCAGCACTGTCTGTGATCTACCTGTGGTTGAGTCCAGCGACTCGATGAACTCCTCAGTGGCATCACCCAGCAGCCCCCGCATACGATACACAATCCTCATGGGCTCTCCCTGAGCAGAGAAAGTTGAGAAAGGTACTTATATATAGGCCCAGGAAAAAAATGCAAAGCACCTGACACCTGGTCTTGCTTGATGCCTCAGCAATGTGGATGATTTTTATTTTTCTACAAGGTCTTAACCACAACACCTCCTAGAATCCAAATGCATGGCAATTCACTTGGGGGAAAGGAAGCTAATCTCATTTAGCGTCTACTACAGGCTGGGCATTGTGTGAAGCATTTACAGACATGATCTCATTTAATTTCACTAAAACACTATGTAATAATAAAACAACTATTTATTGAGTGTTTTACTCTGTGCTAGGTCCTATGCTAATAATTAAGCACTTTATATTATCCTTTTATACAAGATTAAACAGCTTGTTCAGCTACCCAGCTATAAGCCCAGGTCTAATTTCAAGCCTGTCCTTCCTCAAGAGTAGAAACTCTCTCTAACCAATAGGGACTACTCCCCAGGACAAACAAGGTTGTTCAGATCAAAGAGCTTTGACTCAAGTCTCAGGAATCAAAAGCAAGAGAAGAGAGTGCATCAATCTTTGCCTGTAGAGATTCTGAGGTCTTTATATAACCATATAAGAAGAGGGTTCATCCAGATTTCTTCAAGCTAAAACCCATAACTCACCTTCAGGAGAGGAAATCCTAAGGGGAGAGAACCTGCCAGAAAGGCCAGTTCTAAAAGTTCTTCCAGCTATGGAAGCCCAATGAGAATTCCCCAGAGAGAGAATAACCCCAGTCAATAGACAGATTCTGTCTCTACAACAGAATAGGTTCTAGTCAGTGGCTAAAGAGATGGGCTGTTTATTAGGGAAACGGAGGGCAAAGTAGAGAAAGGAAGTTGAAGGTCCAGAGAAATAGCTACCACAAACTCTAGACCTTGCCAGAACTCCTCATGGATTAAGCACACCAACATGAGGGGCTTAATGATTCTCAACTTCTACCTTGCCTCATGGTTCAAGGGAGATGCCCTTGTGTGTTCTCTGGGTTCACTGCCACCATTTATAAGAGTGTCCACAGAAGCTTGGCCTTTGATTTTTATGTGCATCAGGGATTAAATCTATATAGTCTGTTTAGATGCTAAAATGTCAGTGACAAGATGTGTCAACTGGGACAGTCTTCCGCCTGTCAGTCTGCCAACAGTGCTACATCTACCCAACTGGCAGTAGACCAAAGGTAATCAGTGACCAGAATTCCCAGCCCAGTGGGACAACAGAAAGGAGAGAAGCAAAAATGTATGACAAATTAAAGGACAAAATGTATGATGGTATACTACCAATTTAGTTCCTTAAAGGCTACAGAAATATTTGAATAGGAAAGTTCGCTGTGCTTCACTGGTATGCCAGTTTACTGTGATTAAGTTACTTATTTGATTCATTTACTAAAGACCCTGCCACCCCCCAACAGAGACGAGAGAAAGCAAGGAATGGCAGGGAGAGAAAGAAATGGAGATGAAAAGGAAACAGGAAGAGAGGAAAGGAAGGAACAGAGACAGACAAAGAAAAGAGAGAAAGGAAAGGTGAAATGGAGTGTCTAAGACTACCAAAAGTGAACAAATAGTACTGAAGTGGTCAAAAGGACCAGTGCACATACTTCCTCATTTCCTTTTCCCCTCCTCAAGAACTGCCTGTTTGAGTCTCAATTCCCCAACTAGTAAAACACAAACAATGAGCCTTGGCACAGCTACTGGGAAATGTTCTGTTAAGTGTGGAGGCCCATCAAAGCCGAGAATTAATCTCCACTGAGAGGTCCCCGTACAAAAAGAGTACAAGATAGCAAGCATTCCCCACCCACCACAGTGTGTCCTCTGACACTGCCTGGCCTCGAATCTCTGGGGTCCAAGAACTTGCAGGGCCCAGCCTGTGCTGTGCACAGATGGAAAACACTCATGTTTTCCTGAAGGTTTTCAACCTTCATTAGTAAGATGCCTCCAGAGGAGGACAAGATGATTGGTTTTCTCCACACAACCACAAATAGGGGAAGTAAAGGTCCTAATGCTACCACCAGCTGGGTATGTGATGACTAACAATGGCTCCTGATGGTACAAGTCTGCATAAGTCAGAAAAGTAAAACCACACCTGCAAGCACAAAAACAAGCACATACCTCATTCGTGGTACACCAGACCTTCTTGTAAACCTCAGCTACCGGAAGGTCCAAACTAATGATTTTATTGTTTACCAGAAGCTGAACAGAAAGTAGATGAGGCTGTTATTCCAAATAATTATAAGGCAAGCAAATTTTAAGATCAAAGGGCACTTTATGGCAGTGGCTCATAATTCATAATTTTTGTGTGTCATGGACCTATTAACTCTCCCACTCTAAAAAATACGTGTGCACAACACACAGAATGTTGTACACCATTTCAGAGGTCACAAACACCCTTAAGCCAACCATAGATTCCAGCTTGGAAATGGCTGTTGATGACCTTCTCCTATCCCGAGTCCATTTCAGGCTTAGCACCAGAAAAAGCAGTTTTCTCTATTTCACCCAGCATGCTTTTCACCATATGTGATAACGCCAGATCCTAGAGGTTGTCTGCCATAAGGTAGCAGATATGTGGCCATAAACCTGCACCGGGGCTAAAATGCCAGTATTTAGAGAGCTCAATTAACTTGAAATCACTGGGAAGGCTCTGTCAGAAGCAATGATAATAATAAAAACCTCCCACCACTACAACCAATAGCCACTAACCAGGCACTGGGCAGAGCCCTTTACACATAATTAAGCTTAGCACCAGGTAAGAAGGATAGAAACGTGGGACTTGTTATCCCCAATTTATAGATGAGGAAGCCGAAGCAAGCTATCTCCCCATGGTTAATCAGCTACTAAAGAGAAGCACCTGGATCTGACCTCAGCCCATGCTCCTAAGCACAGGTAGCACTGTCCTGTGTGCTTTACCTCCATCCCACTGTCATCCTCCAGGAGAGCCACCAAGTCACAGTCCTGGCAAATCTTGTTCTTTATATCCCTCATAAGTGGCCCGATGCCCGGCTCATTGCTGCTATACGGGTTCCCAGGCATCCTGCCCTGTAAGAAGTCTTCTTGTTGGGGATCCTTTTCCAGCGTCACAAAGAACTCAGTGACTTCATTCTCCTCCTAAGGATAGAGAGGAGGATGCATCAGAAAGGATGGCAGAGGCAGAGATTTACATCATACTCTCTTGTTCTACGGACACTCTGAAGGAAACATACCAAACTCATCAAGTTCCTTACACACTTAAAGATATAAAAGATAGGGAGCTCAGAGGTAATTTTAAAACATCCAAATGTAATTCAAATATCCTTAAATATCAAGCATCTCCTCTGAAACACAAGGGTGGATTAGGAGACAGAGCCTAACAAAACAAGCAGGTGAGGAGTGAGTGACACATGAAAGCTCTATTAATGAAATGGGAAGGGGAGTGGAGAGGGACTTTCCTTCTTCCTCCTGCAGGTCTCATGCGATGCTAACCAATCTGGGGCCAGATGACTTTGTCACTAATGACCCTGAAGTCAACAAGAGGGCTTCTCTATGTAACATTCAGGTATACCCACCCCCCAATGGTGTCTCATCATTCACTGATGACACAGGTGTTTTTCATTCTTCCTCAATAGCACGAGGGGGTCTTTGGATCATACCACACTTCTAAATAGTTCAATCTAAGGAAAAAAACACACATGCTGCATGTGTGCACAAGACAAGGGATGGAAAAAGAAGGAATAAAATAAAAATATCTTTATACTCTAGCTTAATATTGCTTCTTCCACAGTATGTTGGATTAATAAGCAATGGGACTTTGAAAATGAAGGTTTTAAAAAACCAACTAATCTTGACCTTGAATCTAGGAAATAAGACCAAGGAAAGTCATTAGATTTCCCATCATTAGATTTCCCATCATTAGATTTCCCATCATTAGGAATAGGAAAATTATGAGGTTTCTTCTGTTTTATGTCAGTGGGTCTTCCTGAAGTGCTAAGTGGCCCACAGCTGGTTAGACTCCCCATGACTATAATGAATCACCAAAACAGGCTTCATGGAAAAGTGGCTCACGCTGACACTTGAGAGCCACGGTAAACACCACACTGCTTACAGGATAAATGATGCTGCAGAGCCTCTCAAAGATGAAGACAGGAGTCCGATAGTCATCCAGATTGTAGCGCTTAGCTGTCTCAATGCACACAGCCATAAAAGCCTTGGTTTCCGATTCTGTACCTGCCAGAAATCAAAGTAGCCAAGACAGTTAGGAAGGAGCCTCACCCATGGAAACTAAGATAAGACTTTAAATAAAGTACCATCACTGATAGATTCTTTCTGGCTGGTAAGTGTTTAAACGCCCTACATGGCAGTATCAATGGTTCAACTGGAAATTTGATGCTCATTGATTTTATACTCAGACCACATTTAAATCAAAACTCTTAACACTCAAATCAACATATTACATTATGGTTAGCTGTGTACAAAGGTCTTGCTCTCATTTAGGATATAACCTCCTTAAGGAGCAGGGCTATGCCTTGTTCAACTTTGTATCCCTTTGTCCAAAATAGGCACTCAAAAAATGTGAAATAATCCTAATTGTATTCCATTCATATCAAAGAGAAGTTATAGTTTCAAGCTTCATTCTAAAAGATTAGGTAGATTGTCCTCTATAATATAAGCCAAAAAGACAACTTCAAGTCACATGAAGGGAAGAAAACATGGTCTTTAATAAGGGTCCCACTGATAAGGTCACAAACCAGCTCAGCATGGCATAGTGAAAATGGCACCAGAAGGCCTTCCATTTTGGAAAATAAGGCAAACGAGGTTTTGTGACCTACTCTCTACTCCCCACCACTTAAAAAACAATTTAATCATGAGCAGCCTGGGCAACATAGCAAGATCTCATCTCTATAAAACATAAAAATATTAGCCAGGCATGGTAGCACACACCTATAATCCCAGTTACTCAGGAGGCTGAGGCAGGAGAATCGCTTGAGCCCAAGAATTCAAGGTTGTATTGAGCTATGATTGTGCCACTACACTCCAGCCTGGACAACAGAGCAAGACTCTGTCTCTTAAAAAAAAAAAAAAAGCTTTTTTTCATTTCCCTGCCTCTAATACCAGATTCTGCTTGCCTACAAGAGAAGGATTTGCATTTATTGTAAAATGCTTATAAGGTGCTAGTCTAATCATTTTACTCCCACCACCTCTAATTCTCATGGCAAAAGAGAAAAAAAATAACAATTTAAGATACTGAATAAAAATGTATCAATGAACTGCCACACTAGCAAAAAAGAATCAAAAGCCTAAAAATCGATAACCCAATGAGATAAGCAAATCACTGGTCAGTTTCTGCCTTAAGCTTTGGTTTCGATGACGTATCCAGATTTGCAAGCTGGACAGGGCCCTGAATCCACCTAGATGGAGAGTCTAACAAGAACCATCTCCCAACACACACAAACCTGGTACCCAAAAACAGCTACACCCTTGGTATTGGGATAAATAGAAATAACTCTCCCTTTCCCCCAACCAAATAACTGACAGGAAATCATTTTTCCTTAAACTTCAACATTAGGGATGAGGGTGGGGGGAATCTATTCATAACAAGCTGTCCCTTCATAAGGGTTTGTGGCACAAACCTCTCATGATGTAGGGGGTCTGAAATCCAGAAGCTCAGAACTGCCTGAGATGCCTCACATAAGCAGCTATAAACCCACTGGAGAAACCCATCTGTGACCTGGTCCTAAAGAATCTTCACAGATAAAGCTCCAAAATATGAGGTCACAGTCAAAAATTACAAAATATAACTATACTTAAGGCACCATGAGCAAGAACAAGAACAATAAACAGAAGAATTAGATCCATAAATATTTCAAACTTTTGAATTATCAGACATACATGTGTTTAACATTCTTAAAGATGATAAAAGGGATGGGAAATGTGAATAAAAAAACAAGAGACTATAAAATCTAGAACTATAAGAACTCAATGGGTAAACACTATAAATAGTGAAAAAAAATTAATGAATTATGAAATTATCCATAATGCAGCATAAATATACAATGAGATGAACACTATGAAAGAGAGATGGAGAGACATGGAGGACAGAGTGAGAATAGAGTTTCACAAGGAAAAAAAGAGAATGGAGCAGAGGCAATTCAAGAGATAATGGGTGAAAATTTTCCAGATTGATCAAAAATACCAGTCTGAGAACATCTGACCTCTTTCTGCTCTCTGAGCTCAACGTGAAAGGTCCAAATTGACCAAGCCCAGCTCTAGAATTTAAACTCCAAGAGCAACACTAGAGAGGTAGGTGGCTCTCCTTGAATGTGGGGAGACGTGTGCCACCCTCCCGTGGCTCTGAAGAACTGGGGGAGATCAGACCGATGCGCCTGGCCAGTCCCAGAAAGACCAGGCGAGTGTTGGGCTCCAGGCCGCTGGGCAGTGCTACCTGTGGTCATGTCCTCCAGCATCTCCAGCAGCATGTCCTGCGTCTCATCGATCAGCTTGGTCCTCTGCACCACCAGCTTTCGCAAGCACAGATATCCATTCAGCACAGTACCGACCAAGCGACTCTTAAAGTGTCTTTTGATGGATTCCACCTCAACAAAGGAGGAGAGAAGGCCTGTGGGGACAGGAAAAAGTTGCTGCAAGAGCTCTGCATGAGAATATAAGCAAGGAAGGTCTGTGCCTTCAAATGATTATGAGCAACTCAAAAAGCAGGGAAAATCTATGTGCAGGGCACAGGGGAGATGCTCAATGAGCTGAATGGTCAATAGCTGAACAGGAGCTTGAAACACAAACCCATCAATAAGGAGAAAAATGCAAAACTTACAGCTGTGCCACAGTCAAGGAGAGGGAAGAGAGTCAACCACAGCACCCGAGGAATGAAGGGTGAGTCCTTAAAACATACCCAGGATGCCCTAAAGGAAGGGCCAGGCGGCTCTCCCTACCTGTGAGACTTTTAAGGGCATAGCCCTGCTGCAGATCAGTGCTCAGGGTAGCCTCCTCCAGGGCCAGCAAACGGGCTATTTCCTAAATAAGATGACAAGACTCAGTGTGATAGCACTGCCACTGATACCAGTTACCTCTACCTCTGTCCCAGGAGCTTATAGCACCAACCAGACATTTATTAGTCACATCTTAGTCTAACCCCTGCAGAACTCCTGTCCAGGAAGCTATGGACAGTTACAGTGCTGTTTGGGGATTACTTAAAATTTGGAAACAGCCTAAATACCCCAAATAGATGGTTATAGCCATATGATATAATAAAGTCATAAAAATAATGTTTTCAATAAATACTGCTTCTCAGAAAAAAAAAAAAAAACATGCAAAGTTTATATAGGAGTACAATGAAAGGAGAATTGGGGGAAGCGGGCTCTCCTGGGCAGGGGGGTAAGATACCTTGGTGATGAGGTTGCCTACGTAGGGCAGGACTCCCCGAGCCGCCAGGTAGACTTTCCAGTGCGCGGAAGTGATGAGCTTCTGGTAGAGAGCCAAGTACTCGGCTGCACACTCCCCAGCTATGCTCAGTTCATCCAGGTAACTGCCATCAAGAGGGACAGGGCACTGTTTGAGAGGGACTTTCGAAGAGGGGCCCTCACTGTTCCAGAATACTAACAGTTATGACAGCTCCAAGAGCTTCCCTCTCTCCTTCCATCTTTCCTCCCTTCTGCTGTTTGTCTCTCCATCTTTCTTCTAGAGGGTTGAGGGAGGGCACCTAAGAAAACTCCAAACTTTCCACTTGAGAATTTCCCCTACCTGGGAAGAATTCAGAGCACACCATAGGAAATGAATGCCAAAAACTCTAAGCATTCATACTTTGGTGCTTATTGCTATGAGGATTTAAAAAATGCATGCTCAGTATTTATGTGCCCCTAAGATCTCAATAAATATTAACTGCCACTACTGTTACTACCACCAAAACTCAGCTTTTTAACACTGTTGTTTCTATGGTCTTCTACGTAGAAGGAGATGGTTATGGACCACACATGTGTGCTTCTCATCACCCTGATATGGATTCCCCCAGGAAAGAAAGGTTCTAGATGAAGTCTAACCACCCTCCCCAGCCCACCCCCAAATGGTACCTGGTGAGGAGGTCAAGGACCTGCTGCTTGCGGCTGGGAATGGTGGCAAGAGCTTCCACGATGGTACAGGCTGCCTGCCGTGCAGCCTGCGTTGCTGGAGTAAAGAGTACCTGCAGGACAGGGGAGAGGAGGGGCCCTGGGCTCAGATCACACACTGTCTCACCAGGCCTCCCAGCAGGGCAGTCAGCTGCCACCCATCCAGGAGAAGTCCTCTGGGAACCTCTCTAGGAAAAGGTTAAAGGCAAAAATCGCCAGCTAACGTAAGATGCAACTATTGTAGACTGGGAAAGAGGCTGCTAAAGGAGGCTTTCTTCTTCATGGAGATTTCTCCATCAAGTAATTTAGGAAAAAGAACAAGCAAGGATTTTCCTTGATAACTAGCAAAGACTGATAGTTCTTTTGGGTAAACACTTACATACTGAATACTTTCATTTAATGTAAACCATGTATTTCATATTTTATATATCAATAGATAAATAGATTCTCTAACATAAAATTACTTAAGTCCTTTAAAACATTAGCTAGAAAGAGGGAGGGAGGGAAGGACAGCAGAACATACAAAAGATGGGAGGAGAAAAGGGAACTGATGCGGGCAAGGAGGAGAGCAGAAAGAACAATGAGCTTGACAAGTCAGGTGAAGGAACTTCTGTTTTGGCCAGTCCACCATGCCCACGGCTGGAACCAAGAACTTCTACCCATTTCCTATTTGAAAGGAAGCAAGAGTAGCAAAGAGAAAGAAAAGAAGGCAGAGCAGACGTGAGGCCAGAGGCCCAGGAGATGGCCACTCACTTGCCGCAGCCAATTGTTATGTCCCAGTTTGAGATCCAAGGGGGATGTCCTCTTCCCTCGACGACTCAGGAACTGTTTCCACCTCCACACGTACTTCTCGGTCAAATAGAGATGGCGGAGCTCTGATTTGCTGGGAGATTTCCCATTGCCATCCAGCCCTGCAAGGCCAAGGATTGCAGGGATAAGTAAGCAAAAAAGAATTACAGAAAGGGGGGCTGTCAGGACAGAGGAAGGAGTGACTGGTTCCCCACATCTTGAAGAGTCAGACACACCTCTGATAGGAAGACACTTCTTCCAGGCTTCATAGGATGCCTTGGGATCTCTCTTCAGCCACAGCTGAGCCTGGGCGTGGATCTCATTGCAGTATGGCTTCACTGTGGTGAGGGCCTCAACAGGGACATCCTGGGGGAGGCAAGCAGAAAGACAGCCCAAGAGCACACCTGAGCCACATTTTCACCAGAAGGGCGCTGGCACCCCCAGGGGTGATGTGCAAGGGCAAGATCAGGGATATTGCATATCTCTTATGCACAAATATGTGTTCCTATTAAACCATTCTGATCTGACTTAGTAGTAACATCTCCACACTGAACTTAAGGTGAGTGATTTTTATTATCCAGGAGAAGCTGTAGCTGGCTTCCTACAGACAACCCTGTAGCCACTTACACTAATTCCTATGGCTGATCTGTAGTTTTCCAAATCATAAATCTTCAAGGGGTCACTGACCAGTCTTCAGATGTAAAGAGCCTGAAGTAGAACAGGCCTGCACAGCAAAGAGCCCTAGACAGCACCCCAAGCCAGCAGTTTTCATAATTTTTGGCCTAAGAACCCTGTTATATCCATCAAAAAGTTATTGAGGACTCCAGAGAACTTTTGTTTGTGTGGTTATATCTATCAATACCTAGGTTAAAAATTAAAACTGAGAAATTATTAAGAAATTTATTAATTCATTTAAAAATAAGGAAAAAATATATTACTTGTCAACCTAAATAACATATTTTATATTTTCCAAAACAAAAATAATCTATAGAAATGAGTAGCCTTATTTTATATTTTGGACAACCGTTTCGTGACTGCCTGGAGAGGACATCTGGATTCTCATACCTGCTCCCATGTTCTAACTGCTGTGACACACTGCTATGGCTGAAGTAGAGGAAAAACATCGGGCCTCATACCGATATACAGTTGGAGACGGGAAGAATATTTTAATAGCTTTTTAAATTAATTGTGGGTTTTTTTTTCTTTGATACTATGCCAAAATTCAATAAATTATAGGTTCTTAAAGAGTAGCTGTAATGTGGACTCTGACATTACATCAATAAACTTTCCACAGACTGTTGCGCTAAACCTCATCTTTTACCGGCATGATGCTCTAACATGTATTGGTTACGCAGAAAACACTGGTTCCCACAGTATGTCAATTATTCTTGAAGTGCCAGGGTCACTTCATTCATTTTTGAGGAAAATGTCTGCCAAATACCCAAGTCTGAATAACCACAGTTTGCCTGTCAGCCATTCTTTCAAGCACAAACGGGTTCTGTGAGAAAAGCGGCAGGCTCGGCTTACATCGCACATAAGCACGCGAGCCCTCTTCCTCGGGACAACCTTTGTACCTGGGGAACAGCAGAGGCGCTTCTTGTGTACGTCTCATTTTGCCACACTGAGCATTAAAAAGATCATACCCAAAAGTGGAGATTTAATCAAATTAATGTGTGCTGCTTCATCAAGGGTGTCCTTCAGTGAAACCGCAGGGCAGTGCAGAACCGTCTCGTCATGCTAAGCACCAGCAGCCCCACCGGCACTAAAGGTTTTGCACCATCAGCACAAATGTTGACAGAGTGAAAAGTGCCAACAGTATCTCAGGATAATTATGAAAACAGCTTTGTCCTTACAGATTCCCTTAAAGTCTCGGGAACACCCAGGGGTCTGGGAGCCAAATTTCAAGAACTGCTGCTCTCTCTAGGTTAAACCTGAGCATCAGGTTTAAAATGTGAACATCAACACTGAGCCACAGTGCTTATAGGGCAAGCAATTCTGTGAAAATCTCCTTTTGCCTCACACTGTGGAAAAATGACAGTTACATGGGGGTGAGTCCCCTCTTTTCAATCAAGGCCCAATTGTATTTGCTAGGAATCGGCTCTGAGGTGAAATAATCCTTCATCAAAGGGAAGGAAAGAGAGCGCCTTTTCTGAGAACTGTCTGGCAGACCAGCACAAGGGCACAGTCACCTGTTCAACACTCAGCTTCCTCTCTAATCACAACCCCTAGTACTCAGCACCCAGAGCGCAATCCTCCTGCCATGAGGACTCTGCTCCCCACTAAGGGACAGCCCATCAAATGCAGCAGGAATCAGAATGGCCCCTGGCCCAACCCAGGTCAGGCTGAAGGCAGATAGCCTCAGGCTCGGCCGAGAGAAAGAATTATGGCCTGCATATTCTACAAGCTAGTATGAGCAAGCCAATCTATAGTTCAGCTACAGTTATTTTAGAATAAAAACTTACTTTATTTGTTCACTTAATAATTTGCTAAGCAGTTACTATATGTTAGATATCATGCTATATACTGGACTTAAAAAATGTGACCACAGAGGTCTATAGGAAAAAAATATATATATATACACACATACACACACACATATATATACACGCACATTAGTAAGGCAGTCCCTGGATTCAAGGAGCTCACAGCTAGTCTAGTAGAGGAGTGGATATTCTAAGAAGTAGCTGACAAAGTGAAAGAGAACATTCTAGGCAAAGAATACACCTGACAACCACAGCTAATATTTATTGAGGACTAACTTATGCAGATACTGTCCTGAGCACTTGATCTGCATTAAGTCATTTATTTTTTGCAATGCTACAAGGTGGAGACTGCACTTACACTGTATATATAGACAGGAAAACTGAGGAACATAGGTCACTTGCCCATGGTCACAATGCTAGTAAATGGAAGAACTGGGATTTGAACTCAGTCTGCTTCAGAGCCTAGGATTTCCACCACTGCACCACACTGCATGTGCGAAGGCACAGTGGAAAGAAAGAACACGACACTCTCTGGAAGGTGCAAGTCATCTGATGTGACTGGAGAAAGAGGCAGCCTTCACAGTTAACCACTTTGCTCTATGCTTTGTATCTTCATGTTTATATCACTCTAAACTTCCTTCTCAAAAATCTCAACCCATCTCTGCTGAACTAAGGCAAAGGCAGCACTGGTACCCACCCAGGTCGGGTGAGTTCAGGGCAGGGCAGAGGCCTTGAGGAGGCAGGACACAGTGCTGGCCAGCGAATGAGGAGGGCCCTGCCCTTCCATCTTAGACTTCCCTGCTCAGCCCAGTACCTTGTTCTTCTTGCTGGTTGGAGCAGGTGGTTTAATCAGCTTCTGCAGGATCCGCAGGCACATGAGGGTAATGTTCTCAACAACCACAGGAGTCTTAATGTTCACAGCCATGAGGAAAAGGCTGAGCGCTAGGGACGGTCAGGAAAGGCAGAGTCATAAACATAAACACACCCACTTGCTCTGGGAGAGGCTGCCCAACCGTGGGTTTCCCTCCACCTCTACTCCTCCAGTACCAGGACTGCACCTCGGGACCCCTTTCCTTTCTCTGAAACGCCCCTTACTCACCACAGCGTAACCGGAGCTCCCAGCAGCTGTCCTCCTTTGAGATAGAATCTGTCAGCAACAGCATTTCATACTGAAGGCTACTTGCCTAGAGGGCCAACAGGAAGAGCCATGAGTAGAGAAGTGTCTGAAGGGTCAGTCCAAGGACTGGGGTTAGGCACAAGCTCTGATTCAAGGACTCATAACTAAAATGCCTGGTCACAGGTGGCTCCATCAGAGAGACAAGGGAGAGATGGAGCCCCCTCTGCCCCAGGTTCCTCCTGGGAAAGCCACCCTGGGACATAAGCTCTGTAGTGCGCTGCACCTGCCCTCCCCAGTCACCACCGCATGAGGCCAGGGGGAAAGCAGGCCTGGGGGGCACCAAGGGACATGCAAGGAACGTGAGTAGAGTCAGAGAGGATGGCTAGGCCAGCTCACCAGATCGGGATTGGCCCAGTGGCCCTTCAGGGCCGTGGAGACTTTGCCGATAATCAGGTCGTTCATTTGCTGGGTGGCTTCTGGATTGTCTCTAGGGAGGCACAGAAACCGAGTCCTGTTATTCGCAATTGGTATGACCTTCCTTCTGCCTACAGAAGTCCAGAGAAAATGAAACCAATGCCTAGGGCTACCTGGCCCCACATATTCTATTCCCTTTCCCAGGGCAAGACTATAGCTTTAGCCTCACAAAATCCTGGTCTCTAATAAAAAAGGGCATGTCACGGCCACCTTGACTGCAAATAGACACTAACTGAGGGAAGAGCAACACCAACTTATGGGGTCCACATCCCAGCCTGCAGAGCCACCAGGTGCTCTATGGTGCCTCCCACAGTCTCCCAAACCTGGGAGGTCACTCTCGGTCTTGGTCACAACTCTTTCCTCATCTTCTCCTGCTTTTACATCATTTCCCATAAGTCCCCCACATTTCAGTCTATGTCCCTAATATTATTATTAACAAAAACCAAGCTGTATCATGTCACTCTTTTGCTTCCCAACACACTTTGAATAGGACCCAAAGTCCTTACAATGGTCTAGGCCCTATGGGACCTGGCCGCTAGCAACTTCTGCCCTAACCTTCCTCCCCTTTCTTTGCTCCCCCACTGCATGCTCATCTCCAGGTGCACGGGCCCCCCTCCTTGCTCCCAACACTCCTGGCACAGTGCCTGCCTCTCAGCTCTCCCCCTGCTGCTTCTGGGGCATGCAGCCCACTGCCTGAGATATCGGCATGGCTTGTTTCCTTCTTTCAAACAGGTCTTTGCTCAAGTATCACCCCCTCAGAAAAGTCCTCCTTGACCACCTTATCCAAAATAGCAAGTCCTCCTGCAATCACGGTTGCCATTCCTGCTTTATTTTTCATCACGATCTTACTTCCTGATATGGTAGTGTGTAATTATGTGTTTACTGCAGTTATGTCCAGCTAGAATAGTAAGCCCCATAAGGGTAGGAACTTTATTTCATTTACCACTGTATCCTCAGAGTCTAGAACAGTGCCTGGTATTCAGCAGATACTCAATAAATATTTATTAAATCAGTGAATGAATAATATAGCAAGTAACATTTCTCAAGCACCTCACATGCTCTGGAATTTATGCCACATACTCAGTAAAAATACACATAAAGCTCTGGGTGCAGGATCTGGTACATACTAAGTACTCAGAAAAAATGAGTCATTATTTACTGAATTATTTCATCCATCCTCACCACAAACCTCTAAGGTATTTACTATTATCAGTATGATTTTTCAGATGAGGAAAATAAAACCTCAGAGAAATTAAGTAATTTGTCCAAGGCATGTAGTACAAGGTCTCAGAGACTAAACCTGGGTCTTTCTAATCCAGAGTCCAAGCTCTCCCTCCCTAGGCCCCACTGCTCCATGCACTGGCTTCTTTCATTTGAGTCTTTCTCTTTTTCTTTTGGAACAGAGTCTCGCTCTATCACCCTGGGTACAGTGCAGTGGGGTCATGATAGCTCACCGCAACCTCCAACTCCTGGGCTCAAGCGATTCTCCTGCCTCATCCTCTCAAGTAGATTTTTCTATTTTTAGTAGAGATGGGGTCTCTCTCTCTCTTGCTCAGACTGGTCTCAAACTCCTGAGTTCAGTGATCCTCCCGCCTCAGCCTCCCAGAGTGCTAGGATTACAGACATGAGCCACCACGCACAGCCCACATGAGTGTCTCTTAAGTCCAAGTGCCCAGGCCCTCCCTTACTCCTCCCTCACTAGGACTCAGAGATAGTTTCTTTGGGACACCACACTGGCACCAATAAAGTACAGGCCAAATATACCATTTACAAAGAAACCTGGGTTCTAACACTTTTCCTAAGTTTGCTTACCAAACCCTAGATATCTTGCTATTTCTCCTGTTATAAGCTACCTAACCTCTGGGCAGTCAGAAGCACAATTTCGTGCACCCTCTAGTGCTCCCAGCATCACTACAGCCACCAACCCCAGTGTTAGTAGGAATTACTAGGCCCATAATCACAGTGCAGGCTCTGACCGAGTTAGGAGACACATGAGCTGGCGGACCTCCTCCCGCATGGCCGCGGCCCCTCGGCGAAGATTGTAATCGAAGAGCTCCCGGATAAGTCCCTGGGAGACAAGGATGTGCCTCAGGGCTGGGTTGGTGGCCAGGGCCCGAAGTAGAGTGATACAGTGTTCTGTGACAGCTGAGGCGCAGCCATAGCACTTGGTGGATGAGGTGTGGCCACAGCCTAGGACGGAGAGGGCGCGGTACTGGCTGGCAGTGAATGTGGGCTGCACAGAGGTCCGGGATGATTTGGTGGCCGCTTCCCTTTGCTGCAGATCATATTCCAACAACTCTTTGCGTGAAGCAAAAACTTTCTAAGAAAAAAAAGACACAAATAAAAGAAATTAGCTATTAACATGAGGATGTTAATTGGAAAATTAGCAGCTTTGCTTTAAAAAAAAACTATGCATGCATTATATAATTTAATCTTCTCAGTAACTTTATCCCTCACAGTGAAGGAAACTGAAGCTCGGAGGGGTTGGCTTGATCAAGGGAAGTGGCAGAGTTGAAACTCAGTCTCAGATGGCAGGCTCATGCTCTTAACTCCCACATAGCAAGGGTCAGAAACTTATACACGTGTAGCAGAAATGGCATAATTTCAGGGAGCTGGCAGGGTAAACTGGTGGATCCCCTTGTATGAGGTGCCCCTGTCTGTGGTGAGCCTCCTATCCATGGAGATCGGGCCTGTGTGACATTCCAACTGACATGTGGCCCAACCTGGTTGACTGCACTGTGTGTTCCCTTACCCGTGCATCCTATGAACAGGGCATATCAGAAAAAGAGGGAACAAAATCTTGGCAACCAACTGCTTTTCTTCTGAGACAGAGTCTTGCTCTGTCACACAGGCTAGAGTACAGTGGCGTCACCATAGCTCACTGCGACCTCTAACTCTTGTGCTCAAGTGATCCTCCAGCCTCAGCCTCCCAGAATGCTAGGATTATAGGCATAAGCTACTGCAGCTGGCCTTGGCACCCAATTTTTTAAAACCAGTAACCCCTCTACTAAAAGATAGGTTGGTAATGGTCAAGAAAAACAGATCTATGCTATCTTCCCATCTCCATTATTCTTAGTTTTCTAGCATGAACCCAGCTCTCTGACCAGTGCCCAAACCCACAGTGCGAGAGATGCTGTTGGTGCAGCCACCTGCCAGCCTTTCCAGCCGGACCAGGCAAGCGCTACACCAACAACTGCACTGCGGGCTGATGAAAGAGCACTGCTTTGAAAATGATGTTGATAACTTAGACAAAACACACTCAAAAGCTGCTCCCAAGTCTCTACCTGGATGATTTTGGAGAGTTCATCGAAAGAGTTCTTGCAGTCTCCACAGTACTCCTGAGCCAACTGCAGGATGTAGCGATTCACACTGGCCGAGGTGGAGCTGATGCCCCCTGCCGTTCCAGAGTCATCCTGCAACCCCAAGAGGTAAGTTGTCAGACTTCCGCCCGAAGATGATCTCGCCCAGGGGCAGACTTCCAATCATGACCCAAGGTCTGCTCTAAATCTAAATGTCCTCCTGGATTGGGATTACCTGTGGCTTTTCTGGGGCTGCCTCATTAACTTTGCAGAGCAGGTTCTCCAGCTGTGGCCGGTGTCCCATCAGCTGATGATACACTCGATCGGCTTTATCCAGAAGAGTATTGATGTTGGAAACAGCCTAGACAGGAAAAGAGTCCTGAGTGAAGGCTTTTCAGCATGATGACTTCCCTTGAGTAGCCCTAACTGCTAACCATTTACTGAAACATTTCCTATATGTCAGGCACTGTGTTTCACACATTCTCTCTGTTCTTCACAATAATCCCAGGAGGTGGGTATGTTATATATATATATGATATATAATGATATACAATGCTGAAAGAAATAATTTATGCCAGGTCACACAAATACTAAAAAGCACAGCTGGAATTAGGACTTTTGCTCTTCTGACTTCAAAGCTAAATGTCCTTCCATTATCCCAACAGGCCCCCCCTTTGCAATGCCCTTTAATATCCAGACCCCCCATGTTATGCAGGCTGGGAACTAGCCCCTGGACAAGCCAATACTAAGGGAAAGCCAAGGCCTCAATATGTAGCAGTCTATGGAATAACACAGGGCAAGTCATCCATCTTCTTTCTGCCTTTCCAAATCCAAAGTTATTTGCCCGTTGAGATACTCTGGTTTTATTACCATCTAACACCTCTCTGAAATCCTGAAACCATGTGTTCCAATATATCTTATGACATTCTTTGCTTCTACCCAAAACCTGGGCCCTGAAACTATTGCTGAGTTGAGGAAGGCTTGGGCTAGAAGGAAAAGTGCACTGCACTATACAGCTCTGTCCAAAGTTCAGATCAAGGCCACTGCCCTAAGTCTAGGCAAGACCCAGCCTCACCTTCTTCCGGTCTTCCTCATTCTCAATGGGATCCACTGCACAGCAAGGCTTGGCATAGAGCATGAAGTCAAAGCGAGCATATTTACAGAAGCCACAGGCATTGCAGAGAAAAGGATCCTTTTCATCATAATTGATGGATCTGAAGAACCAAAGTGTTGGAGTCAGTGTGGCAGCAGAGGGTGGGTGGGGTGGGGGTGACTCTGAGGAGATGGATTGTGCCCTATCTATATTCTGGAAACTACTGCAGGAACTACTGAAGGGACATTAACAAATCAGTGACTTAAGTAACCAAATAAAAAGAAAAGAAGACCCAGAACTAAACATGAGGACCTCCCCCCCAGCCCTATACCCCTGCCACAAGATGGGCAAGCACACACACACTCACATACTCTTTCCCCTTCCTCTCTGCCCTTGAGCTCATTCTACATACTCATAATTCTCTAAAAACCGTAAGGGCACCAGTCACTAAAATTGCCTACACTGAAACTGCTACAGAAAAATACAAGGAACATACATAGCCCTGATCTGGAGAATGACCATTAGCTTACCTGCATTTGTGACACTGATACACATTCTCTCCACAGTTGCCACAGACCCCTGGGTTGGCAGGGACTGAGGCACTGCAGCGTGGGCACTGCAGGGTCTCTGTGGAGGCCTGGTAGTTTTCATAGAAGTCTGCGAACTCAATCATCAGGTTGGAGGCCACAATGGGCAATGGCAGGTCAATCTTCACCTCTGTCTGCCCAGGGGTCAGCTGAACCTTCTTGGCTTTGTGCCAGCGAGCCGGCCTAGGAGAGACAGCATCAGAGAGAGAGACAAAAGGCCTGAGATCCTCTCATTTAACTCTCTGTGATGACAGTCTGATGAGGCAAAGAGAATGACTGTCCTATGTATTTTTCTAAAGCAATTAAGTGGTTATGCTAAGAGGGAAAAAAAAAATCTATCAAATAATAGCATGCTAATTAAAAAAAAAATTTTTCCCCTACTTGTCTCTATAAAAAGGATAGACATACAAGCGCTTTAAGTTGTTACAGATGATACTTTTTGAGATTCAAAAAAAAAAAAAAAAAAAACAACAGAAATGCATATCAAAGGAAAACATTACTCCAAAAGCATGCCACAATGAAGCCTGTAATCCCAAGAGATACAACGATGACTGCCACCAAGGTCCCATCATAACCGAACCTTGGATAAAGGTAGGCTGGCTTTAGAGAGGCAAGAGGGACATAACCAAAGTCTGGACAAAGTGCTAAGTAAAGTCATAAGGTTAAAGCCATATAACAATTTAGAGGTGATTTTATTAATACAATTAGAGCTAATGTTTACTGAGTACTTACTATGTGCTAAGCTCTGTTCTTAGCACTTTATAAATACTAACTCATTTAATAACACCCTGAGTGTTATTTTACAGTTAGGGAAATTGAGGTTAAGTAACCTTTCCAAGATCACAGAGCTAAGTAGTATAGCTGGGATCTGAACCTACATGGTCTACCAGCAACTGTGCTGCTCAACACAATACAAAATCAAATCACCTCCTCTAGAGAGGAATGGGTCATCCTAATGGGCAGCTTCTACTTTCAGGTCACCAATGTTTCAGGTCACCTCTGCTTTTCAAAGGAAGAAGAGGAAACATCTTTTAGGCAGAGCTCCTGGCCATTTGTTGATATGGAATACTAGCCTCATTCTGTCTCTTGGAATAATAGCAATACTTCTGTGTGCAGAACAGCACTGCAAAGTTTTAATACTCAAGTAGTATCTACCTATATTCTCTGTCTAAGAGCGATGTCTGAAACTTCAATAAAAAGAGATTTGTCTCTGTGAAAGTCAATACTACAACCCATGCTAGTGCCTCTTTTGGCCAATATAAGACACACCCTGATTTGGACACTGGGGATACAGACTATGGAAGATCCAACATCAGCAGACAAAGAGGGAAGGCGCCATGCAGAAATGGAAGGAATGTGTACTAGAGAAGTTTCCTGAGTAACGATTCCTGCTCTATGAGCAAGAGCATAGCTGCCTTCATCCAAGTAATGACAACTATTTCCCAATATAGAAGGTTCTGTATAAGAAGAGAACTGCTCTAGTTAAAATGGGAATGAGAAGCCTGGCAGTTCCCTAACTCAGCTTCCCCTCCCTAGGCAGACTATTGTGGAGCCTCCATAGATCCCTAGGGTTCTACTGGACTAATTTAAAAATAATCTTTGTCAATATCCTTAGGCACTGGGGTTTCACTTTCATCCCTCAGCCCACAAACGAAGTAGGTAAAAGGACATACTAGGCCTCTAGGGATATGGAACCAAAACCAGCAGCTGGTGTTGAGCTTTACAAACCTGCTGCCCCTCACCCCCCGAGCCTGAAAAGCTCATACTTGTTTTTCAACTCCACGATGGCCTGTACAGTTCGGTTGTTATAATACAGGTTGATAGTCCGCACCATCTTAGTCCGTTTCAGATCTCCAATTTTCACTGTCACTTTGCTGATAGTATGACTGCCAATGAGCTTCACAACCTGCTGGGTGGTGGTGTATCGCGTGTCCACTTTAATAGAAGACAGCTTGATATACTAAATACAAGAGTACACAAAACACAGTATTAGTTCAAGACTCATCCTGCCTTCTTAGAGATTCATCAATGTAGCCCACTGTTCATTCATAAGAGGAATCTTCTATTTAAGGTAATAAATGTGGCAGATAAGGATTCCTACTATTGGTGACCAAACATTAGAAGAGGAACATCTGTGTGACAACAACCCATCTTTAGAAACAAGAAACCCACTGGACTGTAAATCTCAGAATTGCCCATGTTAAAGATGCTACTTACACAAAATGGCACTTCTGGATTATTGCACACCAGGCAGGGATCACTCTCCAGGTAATAGCCATCAAACTCCACTAAGCCAGACAAAGTGCTAAGGAAGAAACCAGTCTTAGCATAAGGAAATTTTCATCTTAGGAAGCATGAGCTTCACAAAGGAGCCATGACAAAGGAATGGCTCAATATCCCCCCCAACTAGCCCCACTATGGGAGAACACAAGGAAATAGGAGAAATCCTAAGGGTTTAGAAGTCACAGGAAGGAAATCTCAACCAATTGACCTTAGATGCTTCCTATCTTAAAACTATCCTTCATCAAAATCCTAAAATGCATTAAAATTTGAATCAAGGGTTAAACAATTAAATTTACTCAGAATCACTGAACTACACATTTAAAATAGGCAAATTTTATAGTATATAAATTATACCTCAATAAAGTTTTTTTTTTAAAGAATAGTCACTACTAACCTAGGGAAATAATAAGCTCAATTTAACCAATTTAGTCCTCGTTAAAAAAAATTTTTTTAAGGAAGACATTCTCTGTAAACTTGTTTTATTTTATTTACACTTAAACCCTTGAAACTAGAGACATTTTTAGTTTAGGTTATTAAGTATGAAATGTCCAATTTCCTTAAGTACTAAATTTGACAGCTGGTATCTCTGACATTTCACTTTGACACTTCTTGTTTTATGTATATTGAGAAATATTGAGAAGGCACATCCTCAGTCTTGCAAACACATGTTTTGGCTTGTGATTATCTTTCACATTTTTTTTTTAAAGATAGAGTCTCACTCTGATGCCCGGGCTAGAGTGCCGTGACGTCAGCCTAGCTCACAGCAACCTCAAACTCCTGGGCTCAAGCAATCCTCCTGCCTCAGCCTCCCAAGTAAGTAGCTGGGAGTATAGGCATGCACCACCATGCCCAGCTAATTTTATATATATATGTTTTTAGTTGTCCAGCTAATTTCTATTTTTTTAGTAGAGACGGGGTTTTGCTCTTGCTCAGACTGGTCTTGAACTCCTGAGCTCAAATGATCAGTCCACCTCGGCCTCCCAGAGTGCTAGGATTACAGGCGTGAGCCACCATGCCCAGCCCATCTTTCACATTTTTTTAAAGCAATTTTTGTGAAACCATGGGTAAGTCAAAAATACATGTTATTTTCGAGTATGAGTTCCACCATGGAACCAATGCAGCACAGATAGCTAGAAATATCAACCAAGTATTTGTGAAGGATGTGGCTAATGAATGCATAGTATGTCAACGGTTTGACAAGTTCTGTTCTGGCTATTTCAATCTTGAAAATGAGCCACGTGGGTGACCTGAGACCAAGGTGGATAATGATGAGTTGAAAGCAGTAGTGGAAGCGGATCCTTCTCAACCTTTTGCAAATTCATCAAACACCTTTCACAATTCCATCACCTCTCACTCTTCAGGCTTCTTTGCTGCTGGCATAAATAGCTACCCTTAAGATGGCAAAACTGTGTTGTTAGTTTAGGTACATACTTTGATTAACTGTACTGCTTCTTGTTTGAGATATAATAAACTATGCTTTTGATTCAAAATTGGACATTTCATATTTAATGACTTAATATTGACTTAATAGTGACTGCTACCAAAGTTTGAATTTCAGCAATTATACATTTTGAGTACCTTCTATATGCAAGGCCTTGGGCTACACAGGAGGGATTCAAAGATCAACTGGACAAGTTCACTGTTTTCCCAGGAGCTTATCAATTCATATGTAAAAGCCTACCAATGTGCAAATAGCTACACAGAATATTGATTGAGCTTCCAATAGGTAGAAAGCAAAATAAATCTCACTTATAAATGTTAGAGTTGGGGTGGTTGGTAAGAATATGGTTTTGAGTCCGCAGAATCTCCACAGCCTTCTGTGAATACTCCTTCAACTGAAACAGAATTCAGTAAAGAAACATAGTTAAAGCCCATGGGAAAGTCTTATGGAAAAGACTTTTGTCTTCTGCTTTTTAGCTAAAGACTGCTCTAGAAGTACCAGACTTCTCAGTCCCCATTCAGAATTATACAAAGCTGGGCCCAATTCCTAATCATTTAACAGATTCTATCTCCTTTAGAATTTTTCACAATCTTAGTGATAGGTACCCTTTTCAGACCTTGTGGAGGAAAACCATTTTTTATTATTATGGAGAAGCCATGAAATGGTTATTTAATTGCAGAAACATTTTCTTCTTTTTGTTAGAGACAGGGTCTCGCTCTATTGCCCAAGCCAGAGTACAGTGGCACAATCATAGCTCACTGCAGCCTTGAACTCCTGGGCTTAAACAATCCTCCCACCTCAGCCTTCCAAGTAGGTAGGATTACAGGTGTGTGCCACCATGACTGTCTAAATTTTTTTCCATGTTTTCAAGATGGGGTCCTGCTATATCGCCCAGGCTGGTCTTGAACTTCTAGCCTCAAGTTATTATCCCACCTCAGCCTCCCAAGTGGCTGGGATTATAGGCATGAGCCATCAATTGCAGAAATATTTTCTGGTGTATAATCAGGGCTACCAGTAAAACCAGGAGCACTTTCTTTTCCAATGGAACTCAAGAAGTTGCATCTTCTTCCCTGTTTGACCTACTTTTATGATCTATAAATATCTAGATAATAAATACTAGCAAACAAGTACAATTCAGATTGTAATTGTGCTTACTAAGAAATGTAAAACTAGACATATTTAAAAGAGATTTCATATATGAACCAGTATCTAGGTTGGTCACAATGCTCTTAACTCATGAGAAAAAAGGTTAAATATGGCAAGTTAGCTTCTCTGACCATATATCAATTGTTACCTTCTTCTCCGTTTGTGGAGTTTTCAAGGAGAAATATCCTAGTAGGTCCACAAACTGGGCAGCCTTACGACCGTAGGCCGGGAGTTCTGGCCATATGGACCACATCAGATCTAGCAGGAGCTCCTGTTGGGATTTGCTGGAGTTTCTATAGATAAGACAGCTCACATTACCAAGCAGCAGAGAATCCTGAAGCTCCTTTATTTATCATCAAGACCTAGATATTGCTTTTGTAGATGCATCTATTTCCCTACAACTATGGGTTAAGTTTGAATGGTTTTGTTGCTCCTCTGACAATCAATCCAGAGAGATGTAGTATAGTCATTCGGTATCTTCAGGAGGTAGTCTGTTCCCATCACTCATTACCCTAGAGTAGAAACTGAGCTTTTTTAACCTAGAGTCAAGCCTGGTCATTTTACAAGCTCCTAACCATAGCCTTCTGGAAGACAGATCGTCTCTTGCCTATGACATCAGTTTAATGGCTAAATAGCAGCTGGAGCAATGAAGAATCTCTCATACTCAAGAGGATTCAGGCTGGTGTAAACACTGACACCATGAGTATGTAACACAAAACCAAAAGAGAACTATGCCATGCACCCTGGTCCCAGACCCATGTAGATCTGCCAAACCAAGCCCTGGCCCTACCTGTAGATGTGCAGTGTGAGGCAGTGAGCCTGCCAGCGCACTGAGGAAGAATTGGACTCTAACAGGAAGCACCGCAGAAACTGGATCAGGGTTTCCTTATCAGCAAATTTGTTCAGCTGGTTCACCAGAGCTGTGCACAGCTGGTCCTCCTGGCTGCCTGAGCTCTCACCTGCAAGATCAGGGCAGGACTGAGGGCTGAGGAGTAGGAAGAAGTCCTCCAGTGTCCCAAGGCCTAGGCTACCAGATGGAGAGGGAGGTAATTCTATCCATTTCTAAAAGTTTCTACTTAAATGGTTATATTTTGCAAAACAATTTTCAGTTGTTTACTGGGGGACAAACAGGTCAGCCTAAACAAGACACACGTGCAGCATTGATAGTATAGTGGTGAGCATAGCTGCCTTCCAAATGAGATGTACAATAATGTCACCAAAAAAAGCACAGGATAAAGTGCTTACATAAGCCTGGCACTGAACAAACATAGTTATACTGGAGAAGGAATTGCCTTTCACAAGTTTGCTATCTCCAACTGTCAATACTACTTAGGCCTACACAGAGATATCAGAGCATTCACTGGAGGAATGTGAACTGCCGCCATTGCTCTCACCCTGATCACCTGCCTCAGGTCTCCAAGGGACATATAAAGCAATGAAGCTGATGGTGGGGTCAGCTAAGAGAGCTAACATTTGTAGAGTATTTACCTGTTTACCTAACTCTGACAAGCACTCCACAGGGTAGGTGTTATTATTTCACAGAATAAAAAACGTGGCCTACTAACAATAACAATGTTCAATGCACTTTGACCTTTCCTATTATTGCCACTTGGTATGAGAACTCACATTATTTAAGGTGTCACTTCAATATAACTGAAAATGAGACAAAAAGTAGACACTAGAGACCATTTGGGTTTTAGGTCCCCTGTAAACCAAGATAAAGACCTTTCAGAAGAACAGAATAAACCATATGCTCCAAGAGAAATCTAAACACATCACCATGGTTACCAAGACAAGAGGATGACCCTCACCATCTTTCTCCTTTTCCTTTTCCTCTTTCTTGCTCTTTTTAGTGGACGACTTGGACTGTGTGGTGGCTTGTCCGGAACTGGCAGCCACGGGGGCCGAGGAAGCAGCACTGGAGGATCCCGCAGAAGCCGCCAGCGCAGCAAGCACCTTGCTGCCGCACAGGGCGCAGGACAGCAGCTGCAGCAGTACTGGGGACACGCCCTCGTCCACGAGGAAACTGACTTGGAGGAGGAAGTACAGGACGGCTGTAAGCAGAGGAGACACAGCTCAGCACCAAGATGACACCAACTAGACTTACACACAAGACCAGGAGCAACTTCTCCATACAGCTGAGACCGCCCTACTCCCACCAGCTTTCTTGTCCAAGTTTTCTCTGCTGGACGTTGCAGAGGAGTTACAGCCTCTGTGGAAATCTCTGAAAAGCATTATAACAACTACAAACAGACTGGATCCAGCCCCTGCTCCTCTGAATAAGGGATTCTCCAGATGCCAGCACTCCTCTTGAGCTTTACTACCACAATCTAGAGGTCACAGGCTCCTCTACTTTGTGCTCCCATGGCACCCCAAATTTTAACTATCAGCCTTCATTATTCTTCAAAATTTTTACTTGTCTTCTTTGCTATTTGAGGTGGGGAAACCTCTGGCCTTGGGGCCACATGTAGCCTTGTAGATCCTTGAATGTGGCCTTTTGACTGAATCCAAATTTTACAGAACAAATCCTTTTAATAAAGGATTGGATTTGGTCGAGGGGTTGTACTTGGGGATATGAAGGGCCACATGTAGCCTTGAGGCCACCGGTTCCCCAGCCCCCCAGGATCCAGTTCAGTGCTTAGTACATAATATGCCTCACTAGATAGTTCCTGAAGGAATGAATGAATGAATAAATGAATAAATGACAGCAACCAAAGGAGCAGCATTGCTTACAGTCATCTTTGATGCAGAATTTCTGCCAGTTGATGGTTCGCTGGGCAGCAATCTCTGCGCAGGCTTTCAGATGCTCCATCTGAAACAGGAACCGATCGTAAGAAATGAGTAATTCCACCAAGGAGCCCAACAAGCACCCCACCTGCTGCCAGGAATAGTCATAATTTCCAATAGTCATGGTTTCCAATCTGAACATGACCTTCTGTGCAAGGCAGGTGCCCACTGGGATGTCCAGTGAACTTTGGACCAAGGTACACACACTGCTGCAGCTCTTACTGAGCCTGCCTTTGTTCTACTCCCTCAGTGTAAGGCCCTTTGTTTTCAGGGAACCTTTAGTTTACTCAATAAGGTGACAGCAAAGGTAGATCATGACTTGAGAAACTACAGTCCAGTTTACTTTTCTTGCTACAAACACAATAGCAAGGACACTACATGAACAAGCTAGGTGTCATTAATATTAAATATGTTCTTTCCAGATTGCTCACATGCAAAATATTCAATTCCCCTAAGTCCAAACAATTTCTTTTTGGGCAGTAATACATTTTTATACTCCAACCTTCACCATTTAGTATTCAGGGGCAAAAACCCAATGGTGTACAAATAAGTTGGTCCTCTCTGTGGTATGAGCAAATGGCACTGGTAAGAAGCTCAAGCCACCCCACCTAACAGTGGAGGAACTGCTGCCAGGCGGGGCGGGAGTGCTGAGGGGAAATCCTACACTCTAAAGCCAACTATGCATGGCACAGCACTCCACCAGGGGTTATGGATTTACCCTGGTCTCAACCCTAACCGAGACGTTCTCTAAATAGTTACAAGCCCCATGCTGTTCTAGCCCAGCACCTACTTGGACGAGCCTCACCACATGCCCTCGCCCTGCCCCACCAGCTCCCAGCCCTCGTACCAGGCTGATGAGTGTGTCGTACTGCAAGGCGGAGCCTGAGCTGGCTGTAACCACACTTGCCCGGAGGAATATCCCCTGCTCTTCTAGCAGCTTCTTGATCCCACGCACATGGGAGTCCAGGGTGTGCAAATCCCGGAGCTGGCGGTATTTCTCCTTTGATCCACAGATGAAGAGCAGAAGTTTGCGGACTTGGCGACGCACAAATGGAGTCTGCTGGATCATCAGGTACTTGAGAGACAAGCAACACAAAGAGTAAACCACTCTGTGACTGAATTTGTACCAACCATGGCTCTTACACCTCGGGTTTTAATAAACCGTTATTTAAAAAATGGTGAGAAACACAAACCAAGCTATTTCCTGTAGGCCGAGCCAGCCTCTGCTGAACTTAAGTATTCTTTAAAGGAGCCAGAAGAAAGAAAGGTAGAAAAAGAAAGAAATGAAAGAGGAAAGTAGCACTATTCACACTCCTCTTCCTTGAGTACTTAGGGACCTACAGAGATCCACAGGGAAGCTGGCCACCACAGCCCCGCAAAGGGAAGTTATGAAGAAAATAACTATTCCAAATATCTTTCTCGAGTAAAGGAGCTAGGAAAGAGGTTGGGTTGCTACAACTGTATAACTTGAAATAATCGTTTGAGGTCTGCTAACAGATTATTCTTCCCTGACTTGATCTACCTCTTGCTTACTGTGCTGGTTATTAAGCTATTGTCTCTCATCCTCCACCCCGTGCCCCCATAGTCTGCCCCATGCTACCCAGTCCAGAATTACGTGAACTGCACTGTCTGACAGCTGGCTCCCTCTCAGGTTCTGCCAACAGAGAAGGTAACTGGAGGCAGGAGAAGAAAGAAGGGCTTTCTTCTTTCTGTCTGCCTGCAGTCCCAGCAACAGCCTGCAACCTGGCAGCTACAGTCAGTTCTAATCACCAGCTTCTTTCAGTACCCTCAGAATCAACCACATCACGTCCCTCAGAGCATGCCCTCCTCAGAGAGCTATGTCTCAACTCTGCCGACCTCTCCGCTTTACACATAGGGCGGCCGACAGCTACTTCTTGTAGTTACTAATCTGTGTTACCTCAACGTTTTTTTGTCTTTTTGGTTCCAAAAGCTGTTTAAACAATTCCCCATACTGAAATCTCTATTAAGGTAACTAGTATACTTTCTGTTTTCCTGACAGAACCTAAATTATTAAACTTGCCCATTATCACACGTGTGAGGAAAGTTAAATATACAGAATCAGAAACTAAAGCAAATGGCTCGCTTTGATTCACATCTTCCACAGTTCCAGCAGATAGTATATTCCAAAAGGGCAAGATCATGACCTAGAAGGGTGAGAGGAACTTTGCAGGCGGAGATACCGAAGGAGGAGTAGGAAGAAAGGGCCCACAAAGGCAACTAACTGCAGGTGTGTCCTCACCTTGACTGGCGCACCACTTGGGACCTTCACTTACCTCTGAGAGAAAGTAAAACCATGAATGATCAAAGACAGGAGGTGGGATTCGAGAGTTGGTGTCAGCAATCTTTTTGATTTGGTATGGAAGTCTCAGGACCATCTCTGTTAGAAGTTGAGTATAGGCTTCAAACACATCAGCAGCATGACCCTGAGAGAAGAATATTTGCTTGAAAACTTATGATTGCCAACTTTCCCATGCCAATTATGGAAAAGGCCGGCTTGCTGCTCACTAGGCCTACTACATACTGGAATTGGGAATGGGTGCCGTTCAAAGCTGGAGCCATCACTGACCAACAGTTTAATTTATAAACCCACAAGGCCTCAGGCTCCTGGGGGCAACTTAATTACATAGAAAGGTTACAGTGAAGATGGATCTCCCTGTTCCTAAAAGTTCTAACATTCAATCTGTGGTTTTTGATGCTGAGTTGATTATATTCTGCTTATAGAAAAATCAGTGCTAGAATTGAAAAATTGGTAGTGGGTAAGGATTTCTGACTTCTATGGTATTCCATTCCCCACAACCAAAACTTCTCATCATAACAGGAAATATTTAAATAAACCAAGGGGGCCAAGATCACAAAGCTCAGTTAAGATTCCTGGGCTCACACCATATGAAGAGGCAGAGGTACTGAGAGGTTCGAGGACGAAGGAAACAACAGCTATCCTGTAAGCTATGTGGTCCCACAAGAAGAATCTATGAGTTTGAAGGCACAATGTATCTCCTATATTCTATCCCTGGTTATTTACTGATTCTATACCAAGTACCGGAAGTGTCAATAGGACTAACATACGGCCTTTGCTGATAGTTTGGAGGGGAAGACAGACAAGTGAATGCGTGCAGAGTGGAAACCCAGGGAAAGGCTCTCTTGATCAGGTTTGGTAATAGGGCAGTGTGTGTGAGGGAAGGTTGTCCCTAGGACTCAGTGTTTGCACCGTGTCTTGAAGAAGGTCTAGGAATTATCTAGATAAGAGAAGAAAGGGATGCAGAGGGAGAGGAAAGAATTCCAGAAGGGACGGCACATACAAAGGTAATGTGCCACATCTGGGGAAATGCACAGACTAATTCTGATTCGGTATGGGAAGCTTCAATATCATCTCTGTTAGAAGCTGAGTAGGGTGTTGCAGGTGGCAAAACTAGAGAATCAAGTGGGTGGCTAGGTCCTCAAAGAACTTTTTGCCGTAAAAGTTATGGAAAACCACCAAAGAGTTATTTAAAAAAAGCAAGCAAGCAAGCGAGCGAGCAGGACACAATCAGATTTACGTTTTATGCCTATCATATTCCCACCCCACCCAAAGCCATTCTGAGTGGGCAGTAAGAAGCACATCTGGTCCAACCCATCTGGCACTATATGGTCTCAAGAGGAATGGAGGGGTGATAACAGCTAACATTTACTGAGCATTGGTACATGCTAGGCACCGTGCCATGTCCTTTACAGACAACCTCATTCAATGCTCGCAATAGCCCTATAAAGCAAACACCATTCGCATCCTCGTTTTCCAGGTATAGAAATAAAGGCTTACTAGAATTAGACAGAACTTCCTTGTGCTTCAAGGCTGCTAAGGAAGAACACTAGACAGGACTTGTTTCCAGACTCATCCAACCAAAAAGTGCATCTTCTTAACAGGCACGTTCAAGGGCCTCTTTATGGGGTAGCTGGGGGGAATACCTGACACACACGAGGGCCACCACCAATGCCGTTACCTTATACCTTCTCATCTCTTTCTACAAAGCTCAATGTGAAATGAGATGACTGTCTGATTTCAGTCAATTCCTCAGGTTTACAAAGTGGCAGGAACTGGAATCCCACAGCAGGTTGGCAGATGTGGCCATCTAACACAGCATGCTGAGATTAAACCCCCAAGGTACGTTGGCTCCTTCCTGAAGCTCCTCACCCTTAACTCCTTCAGCTTTACTCAGAGTCAAGAGAAGATGCTTTGGAGGAGGGACAAGAGTATTTCTTGACCAGGGAAAGACCTCACCTTCACATACTGGCGGAGAAAGAATGGGCTCATGTCGGGTGGGGATGAAGTAGTGTGTGGTTTCAGCAATTGGCTAGTCACCACGGGTTCCTCGTCATTCTGTTGGCTCTTCCAATATTCCAGCAGTGACTTGAGCACATGCAAGCAGTAGTCCACAGCCCCAGAACTCAGCAGTGCTGCTGCTGTGGCACTGGAGATGAGGGAAGATGACTAAGGGGGAGAAAAAAAACACAAAAATGATAAGAATGACTTATAAAAACAGTGTGAAATCCACATTCACAATAGTCTCAGCTATTATGGGAGTGAATGAATCAGTCTCTTCATTGAAAGTCTCCCAGCTAGTTCAAATGTTTGTGAACTTGTTCAAAAAGTTGTTCAAAACTTTTTTGAACAACTGCATGGTAAAAGAAACAAATACTTTTCTCAACTCTAACCTTACTACACACATGTGCCAGAAGCCAGAGAGGCAAGGATTAGATAACTTTTCCCCTAGGAGGGGATGGGCTTTCTTTTTCCTTGGGCAACTAGAAAAGCAGCCCATTTCAAGAAGGAAAGAGAGAACTTTCCACTATAGGCACTTCTTAACAACCCCACCCCCCAGTAGGGGCTCTTCCATAGAACCACCTTCCAAAGAAGATGAGGGTGAATGATCACATGCATAAAAAAGTAGGAGAAAAGCTACTGTAAATAAGACCATTAGGAGAGGCTTACAAATCCCAGCAAACCCCACAGCTCCTAAGCTCATTAAGATTGGATGCAGTTCAGCCTCAATTTCTACCTTCTCTGCTTTGTGCTAATCTCCTTTCAGCACACACACATCGCTTTCTTTCTGCTTTATTACCATACCTTATAGCAACATACACTAGGGGAATCCTCTTAGCCACTCTGTGCCTTGCAGAACAGGCTCCTGCTTTTCAATAAGAAAACTTCCAAACTCTTTAACCCCTCCATTGGCGGGATTGTTAGCAAATACAGGGGCTTGGAAGGGATTCTGAAAAAGTGGAAGTTCTTCTGCTCTTCAAGAGGTGACAGCTTAGAATCTTACTCCCCTCAGGCAACAATGGTTTTATTCTAAAAACTATCACCTCTGCCCTGACCCTAGCAACAACCAGACAATCCTCTTACCTTTCCCCAAACCCGTAAACTCAAAGCAAAAATACCTCACATATGGAAGACTTGGATCCAGATTTGGTACGGGACATGAAGACACTCAGGAGTCTCATTACTACCAGATGGACTTCATTCAGGGCACTGCGCTCATTCTTCTTGGAGACATCCTGCGGCAAAAGCAGAAGCCCAGAAGCCCACACTTACTTTAAGCTTGAGGCATCCTCTGGACAAGATTCCCTCAAGCCCATCAGCCCTCAATGTTTCTCAGATTAAATCACAGACAAAACAAGCTGTGGGACTATACCTGGGGTACCTAGAGTCTGATACACTTAGGAGGCCATATTAAGATACAAACAACCAATTTGATGTTTTCACCTCATCAAGCTATAAAAGGTCCACGAGGGCAGGAACTTCATCTTATTCCTCAGGTAAACCCAGGATCCAAAAACACACCTGGGCCAAAGCAGGCCCTCACTGGAACCCTCAGTGGATGGTTACCCCTTGAAACTAGGTGAAGTTCCTCTGAGAGAGGAATGGGAACCTGAGAAAGGATCTCAGCCGATCCTGCTTCTCACAGTTGATTCTCGAATGTTACCTTCTTATCCATGCCCAGTTCAGCAATAAGCTGGGAGAGCAGGTTGTCCAGGGCCCCCTTGTCTTTCTCATCTTCTCCATCCAGATCTGTAGTAAGCATCAGAATGACCTAGAAGTCAAAGACAGAAAACACAAAAGTCAATTTCCTAAAGAACAATAACTCTAAACATGATGTTTTAGAAGAAATCCCAATCTTTCTGACTTCCTGTCAACCATAACTGTTATCCA